GATACCTTCTGGAACATCAAGACGGACCACTGCTTCAGGCATTGTACATAACGCGCGTTTAGGAATTTGTGCATTGCGATCAAGAGAAGGTTGGATAGCTTGTAAAAACTGTTTCCTTTGTTCTTCTGTGCCATATGGCGAATTATTAGGTTCGGGTAAATCAATAATTTGTTTCTCATTGTTTGGTGTCAGTGGCTCCCATGATGTGGCTAAACCAGTAATACCAATTCCGAGTTTAAACATCAAATCCAGACCAATGGTGACTGGTGTTGTTCCGGATAATTCCATGATGTAAAAATTGTGTTTGAATCTTTTCCCATTGTACTGTAGTTCAACATTTTCAAGTAAACCTAAAAGGTAGGCTGTTACATCCTTTGCTGCTAAAGTAATGGATATATTTTTTACTGCGTTTTTATTGATTTTAAGTACAGATGTTGACTCTATGTTTTGTAACCATGTAGGTGTGATAAAAGACTTGTTGGCGCCTGTGTCGACTAATCCGAAGACTTGCTTAGTCTGTACAGTGATAGGAACAATGAGTGAGTCAATGTCATCTGTTGCTTGCAGTGTGTTATTTATTTGTGTTGTGCGGTTGATGTAATTACCTGTAATATCCATTCCGTCCAATGAAATGTGATTAAGTGTTTCTTCATCCCGCTTTGATGGTGTAGTAGAAGAAGACGAGGAAGGAGACGAGGAAATGTGTACAGAGCGATTGCTCACCATTGTTGTCGACGTTCCTGACTTCTTTTTTCCTTTTGCATCAAAATATTCTTGGCAGCGATGGCCTAAGACATATGGAACTTTTTTACAATAACGACATAGGTTGTCTGAACCTGTTGATTGCCGGTTATTGCGGACTTGTTGTTGTACTGCTTCCCGCTGGCGCTGGATAACGTGGCAATCCGTCGCCGAGTGATTTCCTTTTGGATGGACAGGACAATCACCGTAATGACGAGGACGGCGAGAAGCTGGTGCTGGCGATGAGAAGGACGAAGACAGGTGTTCATTACCCATGCGACGTTTCTTTCCTGGTGCATGGATGCTCGCATAACTACTGTTGTCTTGAAACTTGTCAACGAATTCACCCAATGTGGAAATTATGAGTTGCACGACCTCAGTGACTTCAGATGGCCAATCTACACCATACTGTCTTACTAGTACTGGGTAGATCTTTTCGCGGATCGAAGGTGGCAACGACGAAATGAAATCGAACGTCAAGTCACGACCGCTGGCTCTTCCTGCCTCGTGTGCTAATGACATCCATCGTTCGGCATAGACACGGATCGCTTCATTGGCTTGCGGACGAGCGACAAAAAGCTCATGGCGTTTGAGATACGTGTGGAATGGATTGCCGTATTCCTTCTTGATTTCGGTACAGGCTTGTTTCCATTTTAATTGACGGTCAGCGACATCTCGGCGGAACCAAGTCATTTGGTTATCGTCCAGACATAACCAGAAAAGACGTTCCCAATTGCCATCAAGGTCAATGCTATGGCTGCGCAATTGGATTTCGAAGGCGGAAATAAAGGCAGAGACGGAATTGTGCACTGGCTTCGTCGGATCTCGGACAGGGCCTCCTTGTACTTGTAGTATCGGTAGGTTTTTTGGGACCACGCAGCTTGCCTTTCGATCTTCGAACTGTTCAGACATGCTGAGTGCTTGCTGAGTAGCTTGGTAGATGTTGAATGCATCAAGTGCTTCTTTGTGTGCCTGTTTTAGCTTTAGTAGGTCATCTGGTGAAGCATCTTGCGCCTGCAAATATTCTTCGGTGGCTTTCGCTAAGCGTGCCTTGAGGATAGCTCCCATGTTAGACGGTGTCAGCTTCCTTTGTTCCAGGTAGGTACTCAGTGTAATAATGTTCCTGGCCATGGTTTCAGTACTAGTTTCAGTGCTAGTTTCAGTGCCATTTTTGGACGCCGATTCTGAGTCCACCATTTCAACATCGTTGCTTGAGACCTCGACCGTTCCTGGAGTTACCACGTTGGCTTGATCAACGGTTTCGTTAATGTTTGTTGCTTGGTTGTTATCGGAGGACATGATGTAAGATATAAGGAAAAAACAAGGTTTTCAAAGATAAAAATGTGATGATAGAGCTTTAATAAAGATAATAAGGGACAAGATTAAGTATCTTTGAGATGATGTTTTATTCCAACAAAAGATAAAGCTCTTTTATATTCTAGCTATTAAGACGGCGATATCAATTCATCCGACTAAAGGATAAACTATGTGATAGAGGATGGATCAAGGACGTATCAGAACTTCTATTGAAGTCGCTATGTTAATCGGGCACATCTTTGAAACCGGCGTTAGCTGATGTAATGGCCGAGGTACCTGTTGATAGGTTCATTGTCCTGTTCACGTAAGGTGGATCATCTGAGTGAGAGATTTTACACAATAGTGTTTAGCCGAAATGCCGTAGTGTTCATACGTGTGTGCTATAATGTTTAACCGAATATCTTATTGTTGATATCTTAAGCAGTGTATTAATGTGGTTCACCACAGGACAGCTTATATTTTATCTTAGTGTATACAGTGGCTTTTTTTGTACTAAGGCCTTATTTTTTGTACACAGCAGTATTGGAAGCATTTTTATCCTTATTTTACTCATATATCGTATCTTATTAGATAGCTTCCTTAGACGAGCTCTATTTTGGTGCTCTTTGACAAGAAACAACCACTAATGTTGCTCTATTTACTATATGGACAACGCATGGTTAGTATCCAGGAACATAGAGCTTATGGAGTTGATCGGTGCCTCTTCGTTATCAGTAATAAAGATGTCTACATTGCCTTCAGGCCATATGACTTGACGCGCCTTCTTAGGAGCCCAGAGGTATGATTCTTTCTTTTTCGTTTACCACAAATACAGATGCAATCAATGCGTCTTGTAGTTTTGAGGCACCAAGATGGCTGACACCGACAAAGTTTACAAGCGGCATTTTAGTCACACTTGCTTTGTAAGTTGCATCAATGACAATAATCTCGTTGATCTGATTCGCTTTGCTAGGCTTGATTTTGTGCGAGATAAAAATGGCTTCAACTTTTATTCACTGACTCATGTAGTTTTATCTCGTCATGTACTTGTTGCTGATGAAAAACTCGAGTATCTTGCTGAAATCGCCGTGATTGTCTTCACGGAAGATGCGTGCGCGAACGTTGTACAGATCGTTCATTGACAGCTTGGTACAGTAACGTCTTCGTGGCCCCTTATCACTTCAAACACTTTGGCTGGTTTGATCTAGCGCTCCGTCTTAGAATGAACCTGCTGTCGAACTTCGGATGCTGGTGGTGGAATTGTGGTTGATTGCTAAGTTCATGATTATGCTCGTCGGTACTACATATTGACAGTCGTTACGCGCCAATGCTTCTTTTCTTGTATCCACTTCACGTACATGCGCCACATACATCTTGTCTTTTTCGTCGATGTTTGACGTTGACGAGTTTCTTCATCGATTCCATGTGTGTTACGATAGCGGTTGCCATGCACGCAATGAAGCACAATTTCTTTGTCATCGCTATTCTTCGTAGAGACTGCAAAATTCTAGCATTGTACATGTTCGTTCAGATCCGCAAGGAATTTCTCTGTAGAAACAGTATATGTCCTGCCAACCGATTTATCCATGACGTGGAGTATATCTGTAAATCGGTGTATAGAGATAAAGAAAGTACAGTTATAGTCACTCTCTTTTATATGACTGAATCGCCACATAGGAACGTCTGGTTAGAGACCAAATTTCCAATGAGAAACTGGTACTATGCGCGAAATGAATTGCATACCACACCTACGCTGTTGTTTGATGTAGAACTGGAAGGAATAACAAAAAAAAGTCATGTTTATTCTGACATCTCTCTATGTATTGAATCATACTCTTATCATAGCTTGTTGCGGACATCCCACAAATGAAGATATCACAGAATAAAAGATCCTTTTTCCATGCTTGCGACGCACCATTGATTCGCATGTAACCTCGAAAATTTATTGATAGAATGGTGTGTCCGTAGCAGTTCCCTTTGTGTCTTTATTAAGCTTCTTTGATTTTTCGCTAAGAACACTTGCATACAGCTTACAATTTTGCACCTTATCCACACTTCCGAATACATTCAGTAGTGATACTAGAAGAAGTCACTTGGTATGATGAGAATGATAAAATGGGGGTATGTCTACAAATATCATCTCTTCCGTTCTGATATTTCACACTAGTTTCAAGCGAAAATACAGATTATATGGGCCCAAAGTCACCTTTCTTTGCTTCATTTTCTAAGGAAGGGATAACGTGTCGTCAAATTTGATGGTTGTTTGAATATGCTTGTGATATCTTTGATATGATACTCCTGTATTTTTTAAAGATAGTCGATTCTCGGCTTGCGAATGATATCTTTGGATTGACACTAGCTATGCCATGATACAGTGGATGATTGGGAGAAAAGAAGGATGGTGATAAATGAGAAGGAACTGAAGGTGATGCTCATTGTGAAATACTGATAAGAGAAACTGGTAGCCATCATGGGATGAGGGGAAGTAAGGAAAAGTAATATAAGTCGTGCCAGTGAAAAATGATCAGCATCATGATAAAGGAAAACAGAATAGAATGAGGATGAGAAAATATATACAATGTAGGTTGGTTATCAATAGTCTAGTGTGCATTCACGCGAACGGTCCATGGATCCATCCTTGATATTTTTTATAGTCGATATGTCGAGGCGTGGTGGATGCGAATTTCCTCGTTCAACTTCTCGATCTTATTGTTTGAGGCAGTTCCCCCAAAAAACTTCGTATAGAGAAAGTAACGATTCAATATTGCTTCTGCTTGTGAATGAGTCCAGTTCTTGTATTGGCTTTGGAAAAGTAATTGCCAGTACTTCAGTCATGGTATAAAACGAACTGTTTGGCATTTTCTGAGTGATATAACTTTGAGGTTATAACCTAGAAAAAAAAAAGAATCAACAGCCATATACAAAAAATGAATTAGGGTGTAGCACACATAAAACACCAGGATTTAACATTTACCATGGATCTGGAACCCTAGAACACCACACAATTTGGATTTTTCAACAGCTTTGGCATTCATAACCACTAATCTCAAGATGTCATTGGCCAAACAGTCGATATTTGGACTTGGTTCTGCCAATTTGGCCTCGCCGTATCCCAATGGACGTCCCCAACTAAGCTGATCAATCTCGCAAATCATTGCGTCGGGTTGCACACGGACTACTTCGCTAGCACTACCGTCATCTGGAACAACGTTGGTCCTATATATGACCGAATATCCATCCAGATCGGTAATAACCAAAAAGAATAAGTAATAAAGAAATCATGCATAGTGTATGATCATGTAAAACGGAAAAGATATGTACTTACCATCTCAATGACACATTACGATCAGGATCCAACAACAAAGCAGAGAGAATGGGATCGAAAACACCACTCCATAATTCTGTTTCACCCATGGTGACAGTAGTTAAGAGCGTTTTCGACGGAAGCCTCTGGATCCTAGATAGGTGCGGACATCAGCACAAACCTAATAGCCATTCACAATACATGACAAGTCACAATAAGAGCTTACAAATTCGATAAACCCATTAAAAGTTGTGCTTCGCAATCTTTCTTGTCAATACTCATGGCAACTAACTTCTGGACGGCTTCACGTGTCCTGATGCGTTTCTTTTTCAAGTCCTGTTTTTGTTCAAAGAATATATTATTAAACCATTAGCGAGAACCCAATGTCGTAAATACATACATAAATGAAATCAACAAGAACTTTGGCAATCCTGGAAGCTTCTTCTTCTACATCAGCGAGTAGGCTTTTCCGAGTGTTGTCGTGCCATTCGCTCAGGACTTGATCAGTGAAATGCGCACGTGTGTATTTATTGAATCGGGAAGGCTTTAATAGCATGACATCACTCAAAGCCCTATAAAGAGACGGTGATAACCATATAAGCCAAGTAATAAGTATATCTACCAGAATAAGTAAATGAAAAGGAAGCATCAATAAACATACATCAACTCGGGAACACCATTCTCCATACTGAACTCATGGCCAGTAAGCGCATCCCCAAGAATTTTTTTCTTATATGCAGCAAATTGTTCAGTTAGTGTTGGCTGTTGGGTTGTTTGGTCGTTTTGCTGGTGTCTAAATAAAAGCAAGCGTTAGCGTAACACATCAGCAGAAAGTTTGACCAAAATATATGGTTTGAGTAGTGCATACCAGACCAACTGCTTCGTCTTCTTGTCTTTCTTTCCTTTTCGAGCGCTGTTTTCAATATAGTTAGAGCCATAAGCTTTATCGCTAATTCTGCCAACGGGGCTTCCAAATGTTGACTGTGTGCATCCATCATACTTACATTTTCTCCTGCATTTTCAATATTTTGATTTTCTTTGATACTGGTGCTTCCGCCACTGTTGCTATTATTGTTTTCAGTAAGAAAGGTGATCAGTTAGATAACTAAGAGATTGAATTATAAACAATTAATTTTACTATAAACAGTAAGAAGTTAATTTTGTTGAGTGATTATTATATTAAGTGTTTACTAATTTTTATATTTAATTAAAAATTATGTTACTAATAAGGTGTCAATCTAGTTAGCCTAGCCTTTAATTTATTTCTAGATAACATTAATAAAAGTATATATGCTCTACTTCAACTTACTCTTACTGCTACCATTGTTTTGTATGCTTCAGGAAGCACATTGAAGTTGTGTCATGATTGTTGCAAATAAAAAATGCAATGGGGCATTAGATGGTATGTTGCTTGGTATACGAGATCCATGATAAAAACTGTACATTTAAAGCCTAGTTTATCTCAAGTCAGAAAACTATTTCGATCTCACATATAGTCAAGACTTAATGCTACATCACATACCTTCCACTTAAATTCCAGTAGCAAAAATTTCATCGTCATCGAATCCTTCTTCAATGAAATTATCGATGCTACCTTTCATTTCATTTGCCATTTTTATGAAATCAGGTCTGCTACCGTCAGCAACCTTGGAAGGCGCCTTGATTTCCACAAATACTAATGTTTGTTCGGGCATACCCGCGAATTCGAATACCATCGACAAATCCACAAAGCGTCCTACTTTTCCTCTTCTTGCTTTCGATCCGGTAACTTGGCCATCAGTGCTTTACATACCGTAAATTTGTTAGTTTACAGCGAAATTTGAAACATTTTGCAATATAACTTCATATATAGACAAATACTTTACCCTTTTCGCATAATCAAATCAGTTTCTTTAAAAAACGGCAGAAGAACGGGATCGATAGCATCGAGTGTGAACGAGCTTTCCATTTTTAAAGCTTTTTCGGACGCATCGGGTGAGTGGGTATCAATACTATATGATAAAGTCGGTTAATGAATCAGTCAAAGAAAACAACAATACACTAGTACGTTTGATATCGATATAATAATACTTACAGACTTCGTAATGAACACTCAATTCTTTCATTATATCCGAACAAATCGTCGGGAAGCTGCTTAATAATTGGCTTGCATTTTGTAAAGTCTTTTCTTGCAGCCTATAAAAGTAATGTTTGTTTGTTTGTAACTACTCACTGACAGGCTTTGTATAGTATAACAAAAAAAAAGAATTGCTACCTTTGCGAATTAGTGAATGCAAGTAATGGTGTCCATCAGTAAATCTTTGATATGATACTGTTCATCACATTCTTCAACCATCTCGTTCCACACATCTTCGTCAAATCCATAAATCAAACGTGCATTCGATGCACAGTTGATGCTGTCGATTAAAAAAATACAATTTAAAGATCTATTAAGCATTTAAATATATGTGATTCCAAAATTAATTAACTTATCTTTTCCGAATTTGACCACGAAGGTATATATAATTGTTTTATCGATTCTAGTTACTACCACTTACAATTCTTCATGAATTGATGTCAATTTTCCATTACTCGCTTTGTCGATAGATTCTTCTCTATATCCAATAAGCTGTTCTGTGATCGGTTCCCCATTAATGACCCACTATATATGATTGTTAAAATATATTAACGACAGCATGAGTGCCTAAAACGTTCCAGTGGATCAACGTTCAGCCTGTTACCTTTTCGGTGTCGCTGCAAAGAGTGATAGTAGGTGATTTGTTGTTGGTAAGGTAATCAACGATCTTTTTTCTCTATTGAAAAGAATAAAAATGGTTAAAGACGCCTTTTTTAGAACACAGGATTGCTGACTTGTTTTTTTAATTTGATATACTAACCCTTTTAGTAGTAGTGGTGGTGGCGGCGGTGCTGCTGTGGGAACAGGGCCTGAGCGTTTCCCCTCGATTTCAGAGTGCGAGCTGCTTGCACTTGCGGTTGCACTTTCTCTACTTCGTTTCACGGCAATGACAGTCTAAGAAAAAGGAAACATCAATAACAACCAAATAAATAGAACATAACCTCCAGTTTTGAGTGTTTATACCTTTCCTTTTTCTTTTTCTTTGATCTAGTTTAGTTTAGGTGGATGACAAAACGTTAGTATAAACTAGCTAGGCTTTTTACACCCTCTCATGCAATATCATGATTTACCGTTCTCAACAACTCATACCAGTCTGGTTGAGCTTTGCTGAAATTCTATGTGTATAGTTTGGTTAAAAATCACTAATAATATCTCTCAAGTATATAAGAAAAGGCTCTTACCTGTATGTTGTTGCTCGTAACGTATTTATTAAAAATCATAAGCCAACTTGATTTGATATCTTCAATGTCTTTGCTAAGGTGCGCAGCACTGTCAAAATCGTATTGAAAAAACGCTTTCAGAGAGATCGCTCCTTCTTCTTGACTGGCATATTTTAAGAAGCCTAAAGAAAAAAGGGTACTGTTTAGGTTACTTAGCAACTAATTGTTATGTTGACTTTACATTTTTCGCGCTCATTTTTGTTGGCCATAATGTCGCAATTGAAGTAAGCTTCAATTTGTCCCAGTCGAAATCGAGACGAGCTTGCAAATGAGCTCTCTCCATTGAAAGTTTCTCATTTTCCAACTGGAGACGCCTCTTTTCAAGCTTCAAATGCTCTCGTTCCGTTTCGGCGTAGGTGGCTGCAAAGTCCCGTTTTATAGTGCGTTTTAGGGGCTCATCATCTTCTTCTTCTTCTGACATGGGAAGCGATGATTCTCGAGAAGGAGCAAGCGCAGGAGCAGAGGTCGAAAGAGCACGCGATTGTCTGCGCGTCAGACTCGAGACAGGACTTGGTGTACGATTGGCGAAATCATCCATGTCCTGCAAGATTTGATCGAGATCCTCTGGCTGCAGTCTATAACTTCGTTCGGGCTCGTTATCTTCTTGTTCGAAAGCTGGTGTACCTGGAACGGTCGAGGTTTCAGGTACCAAGGTAGATGCTGAGACGCCACCAAACTCTCTCACAAGGATCGGATTGACGTTATGCTTCTTGCCAAACAAAGCATCCATCTGCGCAAAGCAAGGACATTCGTACTCCTTGCGCTCATCAATCGTCTTTAATCCGGCCTTGATGTGCTTTGGCTCAAGACCATATCCTGTGGCATTTCTCGATGCTCTTTCTTCTGCCTTATACTTGTCTTTAAAAGTTGAGAACCGGCCTTTGGCCGATTTTCTAGTCCAAAGTTGAAGATGGTTGGGGATATTGACATGTTTGTTGACATATCCCGCGAGAAGTTCAAATCCGGTTTTGGGCTTCAACTTCTTACCACCAACCGGCTTGCCTTTAGCAGCATTACCTGTCACTAGGTCAAAGTTCCCCGGTTTCTCAAGCCAATCAACCATTGCTTCGTAGTGCTCTTTGGTTGTGCGCTTGTAAGCAATAGGTTTTTCTTGGCCTTGTGCATTACTACCCGTCTCTCCTTCGTCTTCTGTTTCACCTTCGCTTTCTTTCTCTTCTTCTTCTTCAAGGTCTTGATTCTCTTCTTCAATTCCAGAGACATCGCGCGAATCGGACACCACATCGGTGGGATTAGTTGCGGCAACGCGAACCCTGCGTTTGGCTGCAGGGGCAACAGGTGCATTGGAGCTACTTCCAGCTGTCAAGTTGCCACTGTCAGCGTTTCTTTTTCTTTTCCCAGTTGCATTCACAGAGCTGGTTCTTCTCATTGCAGGTTTGGAGATGGAAGAGGTAGATTTGGGTGTAGTCATGTTGATTAGAATAGAAAAAAAGAAGTGTATGTGTGTTCTGTACAGCCTATCTGGTGAAACTCGATCCCAGCTGGCAAAATTTGGTTCTATCCGGCAATATTGGGTCTATCTGGCGAAAATTGGCCAGCTGGCCAGGAGTTTGAAACCCCCTAGTATGATTTTCTTCCTCTAATTCGTCGATCAAGTCCTTTAAAGTATAGTAATCGTCATCCACACGAGCCTATATAATCGATACAATAAGTATATGTATGTGGTGGCCCTTTCCGGATACAACCTCTTGGGAGGAAACTTCACAGCTTGGTTGCTCACTGATATCGGGTGGTGAGGCTGTGGCCTCAGCGCTTGTTGTGCCGCGTTGTTCTGAAGAAAGGTAGATATTGCATCAAGCTCGTCTGACCGCGAGTGCGAGCCAAGGAGGATTTCTGCTTTTTATTTTTGCTACCTAGAGGTCTACTGCGACGACGTTTTCCATCTGACCGAGAAGTAGGATCACCCATTTTTTGTCAAATACGTTATGGAGGAGGTGATAGAGTGGGAAAAAAATACAAGACGAAAGACCAGTGTAAAAGTGCAATGGTTGACAGGAACAATCAAAACGCCAACTGATATACCCACACATAAGCGCTACATAGGGGCAACACAAGATATCGGCACATGTAACAACCCCTGTTAACTTGTTATCTCATTGGCTACCCTCACACTTTGCACCCAGAGAGCAGTTGCTTAACTTTTAATATCATTGGATGAGAGTCTACCCCAGTAGCTTTAACCCCGCCAAAAAAATTACAGTCATGGCTCTTTCCGATTCTCACCAGAAACAGCCCGACCGCTCCACGGGCATCACTCATCCACCACCTATCTACCCCTCCTCCCCCACAGTCATAACATGGGCCAAGGTCGCTCAACCCGAGAGGGTTTCCTTGGTTCACGCTCATCGGGTCTCACCCTCCTCGGACCAGCCAGCGACCACTTACTACTCTCGTATTTGGCGTATTGGTCGCAGTAAAGGCAGCGTTCTCTTCGATGTTAGTCCTGTTCCTGGCACCACTGCCGATGTGGTTGCCACTCTCATGACCGAATTCCCTGATAACTATGGTATCCTTATCCACCGTGAAGGCAAACGGGTCATCTTCGAATTCAACCTGAAACATGACTCGGAACGTCAACGTGTAATTGAAGAAGGTGTTTCTTTCACCAACGACATCACTATCCGCGCCACTCCTGCCTTGGACAAGACCTCGTAGGTGAAAAAGCTGCGCTTATCGCACCTACCAGGTTCGTCATCCATTTGCTCTCTTTCATCCAAGGCCTCACGCACTCATGTATAAATTGCTCCTCTCTTATCCTTTCCCTATCATATCCTCTTGACTATTTTAATCCGCTATCTTGTCTACATCCCTCCACTCCGACATGTGGGCGGACTGTGTGTCCTTTACAAAAAAAAACTATTGAATGACTACCCAACTCGCTTTTAAACAAAATTCTATTTTTATCTAGAGGCACCACTTATGACTCAATTGTTGTTGCAGCAACGATTGGTAAGTATTCATACCTTTTTCTCATTTGCCTAGTTGACATTACAAACTGCAGCGATGCCATATTATTCGTATACCCAGCTTTGTAGATCTTATCTCATCCGGGAGTCACTGTTGTGAATACATTTGGGGGTGTTTTTGTTTTGTTATTCGATCAGAACGAGTACTGCTTTGTTAATATTCGACTGACTTTCTATCTCATACTCTACATTAGTTGATGATGCTTTGAGTCCTTACGTGCTCTTCTCTACGACGCCGTGCATTTCTCAAAGCATTATTATTTTGCTTCCGTTCTCTTTAGTTGACCACTAGAATAGATATAGTCATTGCGTAGTTTTTTATACTGCGGTTGCTGCGCGCCAACCATGTTCCCAAGGCCTTGAAAAAAGAGGGGTCCACTATACAACTTGCAACTTACGTTCATCCACAGCGGTACCTTTATATTGCAAAGATTGTGAACGATTATAATAGCTATGGTGCCTTTTATTAAACATTTACATATCCATCCAATGTAAAATTTAATCAAATATAAAGAGTATTATGGCTCTTCTATGCTTTGATGAGGATTTTGATAGTTATAAATACCTCTGAGTTTAATAGCAACGACAACATAAAGGAAGATACTAATGATAATACCATACACCCCCGTTCACTATAGATGCTCAAAAAGGCAAAGATGGCACTGCACCACCCAGAAAATGCGCTGTGATTGGCTAAAGTCTCCATGTTGCACGAAAAATAAAGTTATAGCCTAAAAACTTACCTACAGCTGTCTCATGCATATGCCTTTTGGCTGGATGGGGGGCCTTTTTCATGGGGGTCTGGCTCATGTGACATGGAAAAGTGATTGATTTTTGCTAAGTCATTTCTGCATGAAAGAAGGATGTTCGTTCATTGATGTTGGCAGCATATATTAGGAGTAAAGCATACAGTAAGAGAGAGATAAAATGATAATGAGTGAGACATAGGAAATAAGGTGGACTTATATAAAAAAACAGCAGGAAATAGAAAGAGCATAAAGAAAATAGAAAGAGCATAAAGGTAATAGAAAGAGCATAAAGATAATAGAAAGAGCATAAAGATAATAGAAAGAGCATAAAGATAATGGGAAGAGTATAATAAAGACAATGGGAAGAGCATAATGACAATGAGAAGAACATAAAGGATAATGGGAAGAACATAAAGAATTACAAGCAGAAAAGTAGAAAAAGAGAGCATAGTGGCATTTAGTTATAAGAGAAGTACAGGTCTTCACAACGACGAGACTTCTTCTGGAGCCAACATCAAAAGCCTCCACAGCGAACCGAACTTGCCAATGTTGATGATGCGCTCTTGTTGACTAGTAGCTTGAACTTGGATGTCCAATGCTTCCAAGAGACTTATCTCTGAAAGATGTACCTCCAACGTACTGATTCCTGAGCGCCTTAATCTGACATTGGCAGCATCATCCTTACTGGTGTTCGTATAAATGGACGTGGAAACGTTCGTTGTATATGCAGAGGATAAACGAGAGAAGTCAACGGTGGGGTACGGAGTGATTACGGGCTTGAACAATTTGAAGTACACTGCTCCTATACGCTTGTTCAAACTTGTAATTTCAGCCAAGACATCTTGACACCCACTGCTCTTTCTGATCCTAAAGAGACCGCTGACGCCTCGCTTAAGAGTCACCTTGTGCTCATTGTTGTCGACGTTTTCACGGTCAGCTCCGAAGTACAACTTGCGGAAACTGTCGTTTGCTTGTACAAAATCAATGATCTTGTTGCTGGCATGAACAAGTCGACCGGACGCGACATAGGGAAAATAGCCTCCATTGACAATGCAACGAAACACTGTATACCGTCCAAAGGAAACAAGTAGGTCTCGCGAAGGGTTGTAGCGGTTGGTGTGGAAGATGTGTTCTCGGAGGAATTTGTTGAACTGTTCGCCTTTTTCTGATTCAAAATGAATAGCAGTGGCGAAACGTTCGATATCCTCCACGATGTGATGCAAGATGTGTAGCTTGGGCTTGTTACCCATCTTACTGTTGGCGGTCATATTTCCTTACGCAACAAGGAAATTGTCGACAACACCAATCATAGCCGTCAATTACTCCGTCTTCTTGTTCAGCAGCAGCTTGTACATAGAGAACTTTGTTTCTATCTTGGACATGAATAATAGCGACATGACCTCTCCGTGTACACGGAAGCAGTCAAAGAACGCCCGGAGATCCTCCATTTTCTCCTCGCTTTTTGCTGACCAACCATGATGGAGGAGATCGTTGAGGATGACGGCTGCTTGCTGGCTAATGACCTTGTAATCGCGACCGACAAAGGAACGGCGAAGACGCAGACTACTACTGAGCATGCGACGGAAGGCTTTCGAGTCGTAGCTGCGGCACTTGAGCTCGAGGTCTTTGAGCTCGTCGCTGTCAAGATAATTGCAAAATTCAAGCAAGAGATATTTGGTTACTCCCAGCATCGTGGTGTGCAGTATCTCTACTGGGCAGTCTTTCGTAATGTCAAACGCCTCGAGGTTGCCCAACGCCTCCCCACCAGTCAGTTTATATCCTACAGCAGTAGGATTCGTTGTCATGGTGTCATTTGGCAATCGTACCGGATCCTCCAGATCAAGACCCATTGACAGCATTGCAACGTCAGTAATATTGCGAGGTGGAGCTGCCCAGTGCTCATCACATCCTTTATAGTAGTAGCACTTGCGACAAGGGAAAGTTGAAGCAAGGCCGTTGCTACACATGAGTTCGGCGTGCCGTGGATTGTTGGCCGAAATAAAGCACAGCGGCGCCACCACCAACACGTCCTGATTGCTAGCAGCATCGAACATCACCACACCCTTTTCAAGCTCGCACAAGTCCTCGACAATAAAGGGAAGCATCTCCAAAGCAGTCAATTTGTTGTGGACAGCGATCAAGTGCGTGTTCTCCCGTTTGTTGCGTTCAGCGAGTGGAAGCGCAGCGGGCGTTAGAGACCAGCTATCGAACTTGTTCCATTTTTTTGATCGGTTGCCGCTAGTGTCATCAGTGAACAAGTTCACTGGTACGATCTTGACAGGCAGCCGACGATCGTAACGCAGACCGATTCTGAAATCACTATGCTTCATAAAGTCAATAGGGATAAACTCGCCGCTGTCGAAATCGCAGATATCCCCAGCAGCACCGGAACTGGTCACCTTTGCAGCAACGTGCTCAAGATAATGCCATTTGCAATTGGTATCACAATCAAGGGCAAGTCTATCGATTGGCACTGTTACGTAGTATAGATGTTCAGGATCGCTCTCGTAGGAAAGTACGACTACTTCCGTGTTACCCTGCTTTTTGGCCAGTTTGATAGGACAGATGTCGGCAAATGTAACACCATGTCTAGTGTAGAACTTTGCAATTTTGCACGTTTGCTGCCCGATGCCAATTATTTTGGCATAATCACCAACCCAAAGCATTGCTCCTACAGAATTGGTGACGCACGGATGCTGGAATAGATTGTAGGTGTTCCATTTACTGCCTTGCGTCAATTCGATTCGCTGGTCAGGCGTTTTGTCGGGTAGAGCACTCAAACTCGAAGAGGCAGTTGGATCAGCGTTGAGGAGCTTTAAGCAATCTGATAGCTTATGCATATGTGCCGTAACTTCGATGGTTTCGTCTGTATTAGGCTTGCTGATCTCTGCTTTGACTGTTGTTATTCTTATTTTTGGCACTTTGCTTCGCTTAGCATACGATGGATCCATCATCCAACGAACAGATGGCACCTTGAGGTCCTTATCCTCACGAAACTTCACGGCTACATCTTCGAGAAGACTTTTCAGCTGCTTTTTAATCATCCTCTCTTTCAGGCGATCGTCTGCGTGGAAGAAGGCAGCAAGACGAAATTGCAACTGGTTCTCGAAAGGATACCAGTCTTCGTTGGTCTCGTAGTCGACGCTGAAATCGAGCGGATTATCACCATCATCATCACCTTCGTCGATTTCATCGTCGCTGCCACCATCACTCTCCACATCAGCAGCGAACTCGGCATTAGCACCGGATTCCTGCCACCGAGAGAGGAAAACACCGTACGACTGACGCAAAGCAGCAATGTCGACCGCCTCGTCGTCACTGTCATCATCGTCACTGTCATCGTCGTCTTCGACGTCGTCGTTGCTACCACTATGCTGCTGCTGGTGCTCCTCTCCCGAATTGGTGCTGTCAACGTCCATATCCTCAGCATTAGAAGCCAAAGCACGGACGATGCGGGCATCATAGTCAGCAACATTCGCCTGATGTTTCGATGAGCTAACATGAGTTTTCCAGTTTCCTAAGCCATCTCCAAGCTTGATGACAGTGTTACAAGGAACACATGTTTTGATTTTAGGCTGCTTCTGAGTTTGTGCGTTAATGGAGAAGACGTTGAAGGACATGGTCGAATGAAGATGGTTGTAATTGAGAATAAAGGTGAGTGCAAAAGAGAAAAAAAAGGTTAAGTGCTGGGTTAAATTAAGAATGCCTCAGCTCAATTTCCGTCTCCCTTTTTCTCCACCTTCTTCTTGCCCACCATCTTTTGCAATTCAGGTAACAATGTCTTACTTATTTTCTTCGTTTAAGACCATTGAAACCTATATTAATAAAGCATCTTCTTAGATGTTCTCAAACTAATCTGTAGGCTATTATAAAACAAGATAAGAATGCTTAGTTGCTTGTTTGAAATTTGAAAAAAGCTCTCTTTAGTGACTAATCTCTTTTTGAATTAGTAGTCATAATGGTGCTATAAGTGCTTTTGCTGGAGACTGTCTGTAAGTATACATTTATTCCTTTAGGGCATGGGCTGTTAAACGACATGGAAACCGCTGATATATGTTTTTGTTAAACCATAGGCTAACCATAGGCTATATGAAGTACGCGCCGATTTATACTGCTCATATCTTTGGTAAGTTGAAAATGATGACGCGTTGATAAAACCTAGATAAGCTATTAAGGCTAATCATCATCTTTTTAAAAGCAATACTAGAATGGCATAACCTCAAGTAACAGATTCACTACTGTTTTTTGAGATCCTTTTTGCAAGCTTGAAAGCGTCATCGATTATTTTATTAGCGTGTTTAGTTACGCAGTATCCATAAAATTAAGCCCATAATTATTTTCAATAAACGTTTTTTTTTCGCCAATCCTATCCAAAATGCAAAGCCTCATCATTTGCATCTCATTGTAAATGAATTAGGGGGTGGGGGGACCTGGTTCTTTTTCTGCTGTCCCAATATGGTAGCTGCATGTGATAACTCAAAAAGGCAACTGGTTTCCTCTTTTTTTTTGCACGGGTGTGTAGTGTAGATATTACTTTTTCATGGCTTTTGCCTTTTACACACCAAAATAAAATTGAGAATACAGATTTTTTTAGTTCTATCATAATCTACTGAGCGAACACTGTAGCCTACTGAGGTACAAAATCCAGGGATTAATGGTAACAACAGACCAAATGATAATGACAATTCCATAATTATTTAGATAACAAATTATGATAGTTTGAATAAATATGTAGATATATGTCTAAAAAATATGTTTTCTAATATTAAAATAAGAATTTATTCTGCATTAATAAAAAACCCTAAAAATTTTAAAAATATAACATTACTATTAGATAGTCATGATAGTACTATTGAATATGATAAGCCTGACATTTCTGCACAAAAACGATGGTCATATAAATTAAAAACATCAGGTTTAAGAACACAAGTATTAACAGATATTAATAATTTTATAATTACAGTTTCTGATAGTCAACTATATGGAGTTAGTAGTGATGGTGGTATGTTTTTAAATATGAAATTATATACAAAAATGGATAAAAGAGATGTTTTAGCTATTGATGGTAGTTACACATTATTTATTAAACAGTTTGAAGACTTATGTAAAAAGAAACATATTTCATTAAGTGATAATAATTTCTTTTATCCTATTAGAAAAGATCCTAATGAAGAATTGAATATACAAGAAAAACATTTTAGTGATGTATTTGGAAGTTTTCGGTCAGCTATAGAAAACCAATTTTGTGAATTAGGAAATAAATTTAAACGGTTTTCTAATAATAACTCTACATTAAAAACAGATGATTATAAATATATTAACTTATAAATAAAAGTAGTATTTTTACTTAAAAATATACAATTATTTACAGATACATTCAATATAATTACATAAGAACACCATAAACTATAGGCTGAAAAAACTTTGAATTTCCTACTGATAAAAAACTAATAGATATAGTTTTAAATAATGAGATAAGGCAAATGGAAAAATTAAAAATAATGAGTGAATTACAAAAAGATTTATCAGATTTATCATTAGGAAGTGATAATATGATTATTGATGATAATAATAATAATGAAGAATCTAATAATCATATAATTGATAATAATGAAGATATAGATTTCCCTGAATATAAAAATATTAATAGAAAAAAAAGAAAGAAAAATAAAAGTGAAAGAAAAATTAATTTAAATTTAATTAGAGAAATTAACAAAAATAATAATTTTTATGAAATTGAAACAGTTATAGAACATAAATTAAGTAAAAATAATGAATATGAATTTCTTGTTAAGTGGAAAGATTATGATGAAATAGATAATTCCTGGGTAAATGAGAAAGATTTCAATGAAAAACAAATATTAAAAGATTATTTTAAAGCCAAAAACATTAAGTATTAAATTAATTATTTTTGTATATGTAGATTGCTATTATAATGTTTCTAATAATTATATTTAAACTATTAAATGTAGTAGGTTTCATAATTTTGTTATTAAACATAAGGATAAGGATTAATTCTCAGTGTAGTTCTTTCGAGTAACTTTGCGTAGCTTTTGGCGGTAAAATGCAAAACATCTTCTTGCATTTGATACCATCCATTGCTAGCAGGAGTAGGGGAGTAATTTCAGTAAGAAAGATAAAACTGGATCATATATATGTTCTGCTTCAACTTACTCTTACTGCTACCATTGCTTCGTATGCTTCAGGAAGCACATTAAAGTTGTACTGTGACTGTGGCAAGTAGAAAATGCAACGGGGCATTAGACGGTATATCGCTTAGTATTTGAGATCCATCACAAAAACTGTACATTTAAAGCCTAGTTTATCTCAAGTCAGAAAACTATTTCGATCTCACATACATTTAAGACTTAATGCTACATCACATACCTTCCACTAAAATTCCAGTAGCAAAAATTTCATCGTCATCGAATCCTTCTTCAATGAAATTATCGATGCTATCTTTCATTTCATTTGCCATTTTTATGAAATCAGGTCTGCTACTGTCAGCAACCTTGGAAGGCGCCTTGATTTCCACAATTACCAATATTTGTTCGGGCATACCTGCGAATTCGAATACCATCGACAAATCCACAAAGCGTCCTACTTTTCCTCTTCTTGCTTTCGATCCGGTAACTTGGCCATCAGTGCTTTACATGCCGTAAATTTGTTAGTTTACAGCGAAATTTGAAACATTTTGCAATATAACTTCATATATAGACAAATACTTTACCCTTTTCGCGTAATCAAATCAGTTTCTTTAAAAAACGGCAGAAGAACGGGATCGATAGCATCGAGTGTGAACGAGCTTTCCATTTTTATAGCTTTTTCGGACGCATCGGGTGAGTGGGTATCAATACTATATGATAAAGTCGGTTAATGAATCAGTCAAAGAAAACAACAATACACTAGTACGTTTGATATCGATATAATAATACTTACAGACTTCGTAATGAACACTCAATTCTTTCATCATATCCGAACAAATCGTCGGGAAGCTGCTTAATAATTGGCTTGCATTTTGTAAAGTCTTTTCTTGCAGCCATTAAAAGTAATGTTTGTTTGTTTGTAACTACTCACTGACAGGCTTTGTATAACATAAAAAAAAAGAATTGCTATGATACCTTTGCGAATTGGTGAATGCAAGTGATGGTGTCCATCAGTAAATCTTTGATATGATACTGTTCATCACATTCTTCAACCATCTCGTTCCACACATCTTCGTCAAATCCATAAATCAAACGTGCATTCGATGCACAGTTGATGCTGTCGATTAAAAAAATACAATTCAAAGATCTATTAAGCATTTAAATATATGTGATTCCAAAATTAATTAACTTATCTTTTCCGAATTTGACCACGAAGGTATATATAATTGTTTTATCGATTCTACTTACTACCACTTACAATTCTTCATGAATTGATGCTAATTTGCTGTTACTCGCTTTGTCAATGGATTCTTGTCTGTATCTAATAAGATGTTCGGTGATTAGTACTCCCTTGATGACCCACTATATATGATTGTTAAAATAAATTAACAACAGCATGAGTGCCTGAAATGTTCGTTCGGCCTGTTACCTTTGCGGTGTCACTGCAAAGAGTGACAGTAGGTGATTCGTTGTTCGTAAGGTAATTAATAATCTTTTTTCTCTTTTAAATAGAATAAGCCAGAGCATACAATCGCTGAGTTGTTTTCTTGACTTTGGTTTTCAAAGATTATGAGTCGATTGTAGAATGTGAGCTACTTACATTTGCAGTTGCAGTCTAAAAAAAAGGAAATATCAGTAACAACCAAATAAATAGAACATAATCTCTAATTTTGTGTCTTTATACATTTCCTTTTCCTAATTTTTTTAATCTACAGTAGTTTAGTTTAGGTAGATGACAAATTAATAGTATAGCTATGAAGGCTTTTTATTATACCCTGTCATACAATCACGATCCAACAGCTTATCCTTGTCTGGTTGAGCTTTGCTAAATTTCTATGTGTATAGTTTAGTTAAATATCACTAATGATTTCTTTCAAGTATGTAAACAAAGGCTATTATACCTATATGTTATATGTAACATATTTGTTGAAAACCATTAGCCAACTTGATTTTATATCTCCCATGTCATTAGTGAGATGCACAGCACTGTCAAAATCATATCATAATGAGAAAATGCATTTAAAGAGATAGCTTCTTCTTCTTAACCCACATACTGTAAAAAGCTTAAAGGAAAAAGGGTGTTACTTAGGCTATACGGCAAATAATTGTTATATCGATCTTACATTTTATGTGTTATTAGTATTAGCCATAATGTCTCAGGGAAGTGAACTATTGCTATAAAACTCAACTCTAGGCTTTTTTAGATATAATTTTAAAAACAATAAATAGATGGTAATATAGCTTTTTAATTCAGTGGCTGGAGCTTTTCTCATCTATATGGCTAGCTAGTTCATTAGCAGCTCCATGTTTAGTAACAATAAATTCACGATCAGTTTCAATAACTTTACGATTATTAAGTATAATAATTTCATGATAGGGCTCAATAATCTCAATGCTAATTTTAACTAGTTTGCCCAAGCATCTGCTGCTATGGTAGAAAATATATATGCAGGAACAGTACAGGAGTTTTCATCTCCTAGCAGACATTCGAACTTTTGTTTACGCAGAAGGGATTTTATTTTTATTGCTGTAATTTAGATAGATATCACTACTGTATTAATGATAATAACACCATCATTGACGAGAGAATTGTATTTTTTCAAAGAGTATATAAAGTGGGGAGGGTGCTGCAGACATTGATTACAAGAAAAAGATAGAAGAAAAAGCAAAAAAAAGAAAAACAGTCTGTAGAGTACACCAGCAGTAGTATTGTGTCTTTGTGTCATCCTCATATAGTCTATATAATACAAAAATGGGATTAAAGTCATAAAGATGTTCAAATTATTATTACAGGAAAATGAAGGCATGTCAATTAGAGTATTTTTTGTAAGTAAAGTTTTAGCTTGTTTAACTGCCAAACGTCGAGTCCATCAATGGAACAAAGGTGAAGAATATCAAACAACTACCAATATTGAAGAAGCCCAATTGCTTTAGTTTACATCTTAATACACAACTGTCATAGAATCGCAACTGTGCACATCTATTACCTGTCCTGGTTGCAATTATGACAGATCAGTTTACTAATTTAAAACTCGGTAAAACTACTACATTTGTTATGGTTTCTAAGCAAGTTAGGCTATCTGTCATGGTTTCTATTCAAGTATAACGACACGAGATCGCTTCAGCACCTATTGGAGATAGGTACATTCATCTGTCATACTAGTTGCAACCTGACAGACAGATGGGCTGGGTTGCAACTGATTAAGCAAAGTCTTCTGCCACGCTTTCAATCGGACTGATATACAGTATTTATCTTGATATGGCCTCAACCCCAAGTATAGAGAAGATGACTGTTGTAGTAGTAGCGATTCTATCTAGATGATAGGATTAAAAAAGATTGTATTCAGTGCATTATTGTTTCAAAAGATTCATATGCATGGTTGTAACTTGGTCTGTTGGTTGGTTGCAACTATGCCAAACGTATCTCACCCTCAGCAATTTAAGAGCATCTGTTTATCGTGGACCTCACTCGCATGATTGCAATCAAAGTCTATATACTACAGTTAGCATAGCTTGATTTGTATCTTGCTGGACAGTATCAATAGCGTGTATTGAATACGTATATGATATAAAATAGAAGTAAACCATATCGATTACTCTGCTGATGTACTTAAGTAATATCAAGCAGTACACTGTACTTTAATCCACTAATTAAAACATACCACATTTAATATTTATTGTACAGTACTGTATCACAGAAAGAAACAAAAAAAGAAAGAGAAAGAAATGTAGCATACATAGTGCTTACAATTAACGGCACAGAGCTACATTACTTTAACTGATGCTGTGCTCTAGTACCTGTACCTCCTCCAAGACCTTTTTCCGTAAAGAAATTTGGTGCTTGCTTCACAAATGATATCATAAATTCAGATGACCAAAGAATCGATACTTCGGGTTTCATTTCCAAGCTAGTGTACCTTCTGTTAATGTTGTTGACCTTGCTAAACTAACCGAGAGAATCGATCCATTTTTCTTACCTTTATTACATTCCCAATAAAAACAATATTTCTTAGTTACGTGTCGTACTTAACTTAAGCAAATTGCTGCCGGGAACGATCTGATCCGTTACATAGTGAGAGATCAACTTAGTTACTAGCGCGCAACAAAAAAATTTTAGCAGCTGCTGGTTTATAAAAGAAACATACCATCGTAAAAGCATACAGTGTTCTTCGGAACCCTTACGAAAATCGAGTAAGTAGAAGTGCTCGACCGAACCTGGGAAAATAGGTGCCGTTAAATCGATGACAGTCTGCTGCAGCTGTTAATTCAATGACAAGGCCGGCAGATATGCAAAATTGCTTAGATCATTACTGTCTTCACAAATACAGGGATCATCAACGCTACAAATATGAGTCATAATTTAGTAGAAACAGATAACCATAGGCGGTACATACATGCATACTGTAACAGTAGTATCATTTGAATTAGAATTTACTATTGGATCTCGATACAAATGAGACGGCTTCATCATGAGCTGGTAGTTTCATTCTTTGTACGTACCTAATAATGGCATACAAAAAGTGGAAGCAAGCTTTTCAAAGAGATACCATATGTGTGTACTAGTGTAAATGGTAGAATTATGCTGTACTACCATCTTCCAAAAATTGACTGGTTCAATCCTTGGGGACATGGACCCCAACACATTGTCTTACATAATATGTTAATACTACAAGTTGACTGATGAGGGGGACTCTACTATGTATTGTCGAAGAAAAATTCATCATGTACTAAATAATGTGTAGCTTTTGCCTACTAATGCGTATGCATACATCCTTACGAAAACTACTACGTACAGCGTCCATAAAGGATGTAGCAAAACGTCTAATAAGTAGATCATGGTCAAGTACTTACAGAAAAAGTGTGAGAATGTTTAAGATTAAACGTCAAAGATGCATACTTAAAAGATGTATCAGTTGCTCTTAGAATCATTGCTTGGTGGCTGTATGTAGCTACATTGCAAACGTACCAAAGACATATTCATAACTACACTAGCCATCAGCCCCAAACAAAGTGCTTTCAGCAACGCAAAATTATACTAGTTAAAGTAGACTATCATCCTGTCAGTCAAGCAAATTTTTCAATAGAAAAAGAAAGGGTATTACTAGGGACACTCCAAAAAAGTGACTCGACACTCCATTTTTCCTCAAATAAACCAGATAGTTGCACAAAAATAAACAGTTGCTCTATAAATATATCGCTTGATGGACCTTCAGATGTTGGAGTGCAGGATGTAGACAATAGAGTGCAAAATGGAGTGCAAAATGGAGTGCTAAGAGCGAAATAAAGCTTGAGCTGATATTTATTGATTTTATCATAAATATGTATATTAAATGTGAATATTAATATAAAAGGAACAGGAGAAAATTGATAATGATATGTGATAGCATCACACAGATGCATAAGAAAAAACTATTAATAAAAATTGTTTCTTTCTAAACATTTTCCTCAATGTTGACCTTTTTGATGTCCAAATATCTCCAAACTTTTTTGCGCAATCATGCATGTGACCCATCTTTTCACAAGCTGTTACAACCGATCGTTCGATAAAAGGCCATTGTAGTTTCTTTGCAGTTTTCATTTTTATAATGTCGCCCAATGACATCCTGAAACGAACTGCATGATAAGAGGTGACGGTCGAGCATTCGTTCCTAGTCCTTCAAATGGTACAAACAACAATGGCGCAGTACAGTACATTCCATTTTCGTTTCGGTCATCTCTGTCCGGATACACAGCAATAGGTCGTCTGTATGTATCAGCAGCAAGTTGAGCACAACTAGGAGTGTAGAACCAATGCTTGCTGGGGCACCTTGGATATTTGCCTTCAGTGTTGCGGGTGTAGTCAAGGCCAAAACCGATCGTCTCCTCGAGGCGAGCAAGGTCATACATGCTGATGAAATACTTCAAATATATGTCCTTGTTTTTGTGCAGGCACTCTAGCATTTCCCTTTTGACCGTCATGAATTGTTCTTGGTCTCCTTTAACACAATGCGCGATGGTGCGGAAGCCACACCAGCCGTCAGAAGCAATATTAACTGTCCCATGAATGCAATCCCTCGGAATATCTGGGTGAACTAAAAAGGAGAAAGACTCTGGTTTAGGTTCGGTACGAGTCCTATATGTACAATCATATATACATTTATTTATATAAAATGGGAATAGTACATATGACGAAGAATTGTTCTGAATACAAAACGACTGACCTTTTACGAGCACGTTCCAAATACACAGTTTCTTGATCCCTTTTCGATGTTGAAAGGACATAGTCGTCGTGTTGTACTTCGCTGGTTTGAAGGGCCTTTTTGGGCTTATCGTTACCAGCAGCATTAAGCAGCTCTTCTTTCTTTTCGGTCTCGAAAGAAGATGGGATCCTTTTGTCCTTCGTATTCTTGGGCCTTCCTTTCGTAGCAACTGGCTCAGGAAACGTGACTTCAGCGAGATCAACAGTCTCAACGTCTTCCTCAAGGATCTCCTCAAAGCGGGATAAGAGATTGACTTTCTCTTGTTCGGTTTCCAGGGAAATGATTTTGTTCATTAAGTTTGTAACGAGTTTCTCCATCTGGTGGTCAACTAATACCGCTGGGTCTTTAATTTTAAATAGAGCTATATAACACACAGGAAGCACATTCATATGAGAGAGTATCGATCAACATGCTATTGTTAGTAGATGAAGCTGTATAATAGTACATACCTGAATCATACTGTAGAAGCCAACGTTTAGGAATCTCATTCAAATCAACAGCAGGACCGTTTAGGTTGATCATATGCTGGCATGGTAAACCAAAATTGATTCTACTCGTGCAAATACAATCCAACGTGTCGCAATTGATTTGATTGCCTACGTTTTTCCACGCACGGTCAAGCTCCTTTCAAATTCGGATCAAAGCAAAGAAACTGACATGGCCGAAAAGGTTTCTTAAAGCTGCACTCTCACGCTTTGTGAAAAGTGGAGTATTGCGAAGCTCGTGTATGAAGTCCATCTTTTCTGTTTCAAACTTTTTAAGCATTAAAGTTAGCTTATTTACATATCGCTACATATAAATTGAATAGCAAACACCGGAGATGAGTGAGAATATAGAATGCTTACTGTCTTCTTCATGACTTCGTTAATAGCTTTAAACGTGCGATAGAGGCTGCCCGTCGTTTGCATAGTATCTTTGATGCTCCAATGAGTCCCTTCTGTTCGTGATGTGGTTCGCACATTAAGGTTGAGCTGCTTTCCAGCCTGCGGTGCAGCCCATTTATCCTTGTAGGTGAGCACACTAGACGTAAGATAACGCGATGGTACAGTGAGTTAACTAAATCACCCTTATCACATACTTTAATCTACATAATTTCAAGCAAACCGTTACAAAGTAAGAGATACACACATACCTTTCGAGATACTTGATGATATTTGTCTTACGGGCAACTGCGATTTTGTTTCTTTTTTACATTTCCTTGTCTTCCCTTTTTTTGTTTCGCAGTTCCTCTTTTTTTGTCGGCTTCTTTTCTTGTTCTTCATCTTTTTCTTCTTTTTCTTTCAGTTTCTTATCTTTTGCTTCAGCCTTTTTGATGTCTTGTTTTTCTGCCTGTTCGATCATTGCTGCTGCTGCATCCTCCGCTAGTTGGCGATATTCCTTGATCGCTTCTTCGAATTTCTCTTCGTCTTTGTACTTGTAAATCAAGCAATTCACAACGCTCTTGACTTGCTTGTACTTCTCGCTTTTCTTCGGAAAGCAGCCACCGAACTGAGAGATCAAATGCTGCGCCATGTGCCAATATGCATAAAAGATGAATCGATTTCGAAAAGATAGTATCGATGGCAGTGATGAGCGCCTTCTCGTTATCAGTAATGAAGATACCGACATCACCTTCAGGCCAAATAGTATCACGCATGGTCCTCATAACCCACAGATAGGAGTCGGTTTTTCAATTGACGACGACTGCTGATGCAATTAACATATTGTGTAGCGACGTCGTACCAAGGTTACTGATCCCAACAACGTTGATTAGCGGCATCTTGCTGTTGTTCGTTCCATACGTCGCATCGAGACTGAATGACTTCTTTAAATCGCCTTGCTTTTTCCAGGCCAACTTGATGCGTAACGAACAATGCTTCCAATGTTTCCGTTTTCCTATCTATGCGATATCTTACGATATATTGATTGCTGACCAAGAAGCTGAATAGTTTGCTGAATGCACCAGATTTGTCGTCCTTGAATATTTTTTGTAAATATCCTTGATCGTCACGATTGTGCCTTCGTCGTTGTTTTGTAACTCTTGACAAATCTTGGCTGGTTTGATAGAAGTCTCTGTCATTGACAAGATGCGACTGGCAATATCAGCTGTTGGGTTTCGATGTTGATGGTAAGATGCTGCTGCGTTACTGTCAATAAATGATTGTGGCTGTCGGCGCTGCTGACACGTTTAATTACCCATTTTTTGATTTTCTGTATGTATGAGCCAAAGAGCTCTCAAGCACAACCGGTCTTCTGTGTCGATACCAGTCTTTCACGTTCATCATCGTCGATGTCATGACAGTTCCTGTAGACACCCCCATGGATACAGTGGATGTAGATATTTCGACTGTTGCTGCGCTTGGTGGATGTTGCAAACTGATTCTTTAGGGCCATCTCTTGAACCTTTGCTCGGAGCTGATTTTTCGAATCATATTTGGTGCCAATAAGATCGACCATGGTATCTGTTCTTGTAGCGTTCATTTTGATAGAAAAGGGAGAGAGGAAGAAAAGGGGATTTATCCTTTTTCTTTTATAACTTGTCAACTTATATAATAGACATCTCGTAGCTTTATCAGTCATCGTAGTAGTAAAAAATTTCATAAGCTCAACGCCTACGACGCCATCATGGCAATTGCAACACTCCAAACACCCCAAACGCCTGCAATGCCATCATAGCGATTGCAACACTTTAAACATTCCAGACACTCCAAACGCCTACAACGCCATCGTGGCGATTGCAACACTCCAAATACTCCTCTTCCTTTAATAGTCCTTTGTTAGTATATTTATAGAGCATCTGTTTATTTTTGTGTAACTATTTGGTTTATTTGAGGAAAAATGGAGTGTCGAGTCATTTTTTTGGAGTGTCCCTAGTAATACCCAAAAAGAAAAAAGGCTTTTTCATCTTGTTGCTGTGACGCCTTTACAAATTTGATTTCACCCGAAACCAATCGTCTCTCTATTTCGGCTCGTTCATGCTGGAGTAAAGGGCTGGGATGATTACGTTCGGTTCCCTCAGGCCAGCCTAGCATGACAATATCGGCATACATTTGTTTGTCTTGCCATGGCATTCTTGCTCCTTCAGCAATTACTTTTTGGTAATTTGCCAAAACCGCTTGTCCTAACGCGAATATTATTAGAAATAGTACCTATACGTCGAAAAATCCATCGCCATCAACACTTCTTGTTTTTCCAAACTACATACTATACTTGTTTGAAATCAATTTCCTCAGGTTCTGTTCTTCACATGCTGAAGTGTTGCTGGGGACATCGCAGTATGCGTTTCATAGGCGGCGAAGGAACGCGTGTGGTGACAGATGAAAAGAGGAGGTGGTTGTTGTCGGTAGATGAATTGTGAGACGCAGCTGCAATGATATCAGTAATCATATATTTACAACACAATAAAAACAGTGAGACAAAATTTGAGCTTACTAAATTGTTTGTTGTATTGGAGCATCTCATTTTTGTAATGAAGGCCAAACGTTCTTCCATTTACATCAACTGCACCTGCTTGCAACAACTTACAAAAGTGTAGTCCACCATCTATGTTTTGTTCGTCAGAAAGCATTGTACATTGAAAGAAAGTTATTAGAAGCAATTGCCCAATATAGATGGTTTGGATAAGGTGGTTGAAAGAGAAAGAGTAGCATTGACGGTTAATGTGAAACGAGTGGTCTAGAGCAAAAGCAAGAATGGAGCAGTCTTTACGATGGCTGTCTGAAGGCAAATATGCACCATTTATTGTCTGAGATCTTTCTTGCAGTGCTGCTTCGCTTTTGCTGATGACTTCGGTCTGTGGAACATTCTTTTATATGGATTGTTCTAGAACGATCAACACATCGAGGCACTTTTGCTTCCACCCCTTCAGAGGTTCTGCAGGAGCGGAAGCTCACAGCAAGAATCCGCTATATTTGTGAGCTGCCGTATGGTTGTTATATCAAGGCAAGCGTTTTGAAGAATTTCGTAATAGCACTGACTGCCTATCCGCAGTTCTGGTGCATGGTATCGAGCTAGATATTTGGGAGATGACTATATATATTTTTTATTTATAATATGATGTTGTGTTGTTTTGAATGGGGGGGGGTAAAAGAGGGAAACTTGTTTTGCTTTGTTCATTAAAAAAATGCAGTATCATCATCAGTTCTTACGAAAAGAGGTTTATCGCTTCTTGGATCCTCGGGGTTTGACATCTTCGTCGCGTACAGCATGCAAATAGATCTTGTTTGGATTATTGGTTGGAGTGGATGGTGGTGCAGATTTATATCCCTACAGTAAAGAATACGAGGATCAATCAACCTGGTCCAATTAACAAAGAAGAAGCCTTCCCAATTCTTTACCTTTGACCAATCATAACTGACTGCGTATGCAAAGATTGTGCCATTGCGGTTAAAGGTTGTGCAGGGGATGGTTCCTTGTACGTTCGCGAAAGGCTTCAGGCGTTGCTTAGAGTCCTATTTTGCCCAAGGATTATTAGAGATCATAACCACAGACATAAATATTCCCAACGTCCGCTTTGAAATAAATACTTGCCTTGTCCCAGAAACTGGTACTTCCATCAGAGCTGATATTACATAAATCATAAAATAAGTGCATGTTGATTAAGATATTTAAACTTGCTTTTACAGTCAACTTACCCAGATGTAGAGAAGGTACCGTACACAGGGTGGAAGCAAATGTCGTTAACGGAGTATACGTTCTTCTGATCGTCTCGATGACATTTGAACGAAAAGTTTTTACTATGCACGTATATCCCATGTTTATATGTTTAGCTTTCTTTCTTTCTTGTTCCATGCTTCTTCCCTTTCCAAACCCCTCATAGCTCTCTTTTTTTTCCGTTCTTGCCATTTTTCAAACTTACGACTGCTCCTTATCATCAACGTATTGAATACCAACACGACCTTCGATCGATCCAATAGCATAACCCTTTTGATCCGTAAAGCACGCGATGGTTCTGGTTTGCCACTTTAAGGGGGACATGGTTTGCTAATAAATCAAGTCGATTGCATATCCTGTCAGACCACAGACTTTTTCTTTGGTTTCTTTTTCTTTTCTATTGTCATTTTGTCCAGCAAGCTACCTTGAAAACTACTGTTGGGTTTGTCAAATCGAAAATGCAGACGTGTTTTTCGGCAGTGCCTGCAACCAACAAGTAACCGGAAGAGTCCATTGTATAGCATCGTTCTGGCAACTGAACTTGTGCGATAGGATTAGGGCTTCGCATATCCCAGTATCTAATAATCATTGGTTTAGTTTACTGATCCTTGCATCCTCATCGTCATCCACGGATGATAAGAAGAAGCCTGCTGTATTTACTTGATCGTCTTGTCATAACTACCAGTGGCGAGGATCTGTTGACCAATATCCAGAAACTTTACACATTTGATAGGTTCTGCGTGTTGTGCAACTTGTGTTGATTGTCCTGTCGCTACATCAAACAAACGTCCTGCCTTGTCTGCACCACCAGATAAAACCTTTGTACCGTCCTATCATGATAAAGGCGACCGTTTTCGTTTGCTATTAATATATCATACATACTTGTGTATATATCTACGTTCCTGAAGATAAAAGATAACTTACTTTGCTCCATATGACATCTAATACAGGTCCTTCATGCGAATACGCCGCTTTGGGTACTGTATTTCCAGACGGTTGAACTTCGTATATTCGCACCTTAAGTTATTCGTACAGGTATAAATGTCACCAACGAAACTATGAGATCGTGTTTCTTTGTTTTTGTGTCGATCGTCTTCCTTCCCTTTCTCGCTCACTCTATATATATACCTGATTATCCCATGAAGCCACAGACAAGTAATCATTCTGGCTTGAGAATGCCAAAGAGGAGATGCTGTCGGTTGGTGGTTGTGCCACCTATATAGAAATAATTAATAATTTGGGTGCATCAGCGTCTCATGTTCTCTTTTAATCAAAAACGTGTGTATGTCGTGTTTGCTGCGAAAAGCATCGATTTGATTATGTCTTTATATCTCCAAGCTCGGTAAGCGTGATTGCGTGTTGTCATTAAGAAGTTGCCTTTCCGTATTTTCTATATATAATAGCACAATTCAAAGGGTTCTAACGTTTTATACTTGCCTCGAAATCCTTTGGATCCATCGGCATGTTGAAGAGAGGAGGGTGTAAAAAAAAGCGCGTTGGCAACGCGGAGCAGGCACTGCAAATTTTATTTTTGAGATCCCCCAGTCGCCTTTTGGGTATGTCACTTGGCAAAGCAGCAGCAGCTGCGGGATCTTGGATATCTATGAGATATTCACTTGATAATTAGACTTCTAGATACCATGAAAACCGGAGAAAGCATATCGTGCTGCGTTTACTCTGTTTCTTTGTTTTTTAACTAGATATCATCTTGTCCTTTCACAAAGAACAATTACTATCTCTATATATTAGCTAGCGTAGCGTGTTGATGGTATCTATGTTTGGCAGCATCACAGTGAAGCAAAGAAATCACCATTTTTATGCATATCGCAATGGATATAAATTATCTTAAAATGCTGTGCTTACTATATACGCAGCAGCAACAGTAATACTTTGCCGTTTTGAAGACAGCTTTAAGTTGAAAACAAGCATTCAATACACGCACCAGTTGCTGATTTCTTATGTACTCTATATAGCTGGAACTTTTTATATGCTATTGTATGTTAATCAGATACAATTTAACACACACGGACGAGAGCTTTTCTACTTGACGATTATGAAACATTAAATTCGGGTGATTCCCACGAGTGCCAATCTTCTTTAATTTTTCGGTCGCCTAATATACGTAGACCAGATAAGCGCAGACGATATCTCCCTGTAGGTACGGGATTTATATCCATACGGCTTTGCTGTGACGATGATGATGATGGTGGCGGTGATACGAGGACACCACCGTGCCATTGATAGAAATAGTTGTAGTTGTCTCTGGTATGATCGTTGCGTGGAAGCCAAGCGTCTTGAACGCGGGGTAGTTCACCAACCAATGAATTGTCGGTAGCGTTGATGAGTTCCGATTTTAATACCGTAGTAGGATTAGCGATTCGCACGTATAAGTACAGGATATCTCGTTGCGTAAAGTTGTAGGTTGTGTTTTGCACCGAGTCACCGTAATAGTCACCAATATAAGGGAATCCGTCCTTTTATAGATGTATGTTTACGGTACATATTGGAGAGTTAGGGATAGACACTACACAAGTGCTAAAATATCAAGAGTATCAATCTCTTACCGAAATGTCGAGGATAGGTAAATTACGTTGGTTACCGAGAGAGCCAAAGTAAGGCACTCGCGCGCTTCTGGATGACGACGTTGATGTCACTTCAATATATCCACCGTAAAGCATGTGTTCTGTTGTATTCTCCTGTGGTGGTACAAAGTTGACAGTAACGGCGATCTTTTGGTTGCCTTCAAGCTCAAATTCAGCCTGCTCAAAAGTAACGTTGGCAAAAGCTGATAAATATGTTGGAACCATCACTGGACCTGCACTTGAGCTTAAATCGAAGCCTAATTGTGGCCATCGAAAAGCGTTTGGAAGATTGGCAATGCTGCTATTAGTATTGGACCATGGCGAACTTGCTGTTAATGATTGTTTTTACCATTGATGGATAATGCAGACAGATGGGTGAGCTTGAATGTTTCGCGGTCAGGTGATCGATTGTGAATGGAAAGTGTAGCATTATGTTGAAAATGAGCACTGTCGTTCAAGGCTATTTTCGATGGTTCCATTTGTACTGTATTATGAATAGCATCATATATCTAGAATAAATCCACATTATAAAATTTTCTTATACGCTTTGTAAAAAATTGACAGCTATTAGCCATCTTTATTACCTGAACCAAACCTGAGCCCTGCTTAATTGGTGATTGTAGAAGATCCCGAGTTTCCAATGCAGCTCCAGTGGGTGCCGCTGTGTTCAATAAATCCGAAACAATTGCGGACCTATCCTTTTGACCTTTGGCCTGCATATACAATGCTATAGACCCCGAAAGATACGGCTTCAATAGGAAAAAGAAAAAGCATTAGCATGATTAGTCATCAATAGTTTTGAAGCTCTATTGTTTACTTACTGTTGCCATACTTGTTCCACTCATTAACAGATATGCACCTGGTTTGTATATCGGTTAGTAATAATTTTCTTTTTGTTCTTTAGAGTGAGATAGGTTCCGTTTTTTCCGCCGCTTACCCAAATTTTGTGGATACGTCGAGTATACGTATCCACCAATTCCTGCAATATCTGGCTTGAGATGAAGCTATTGGTGAACATAGTGGTTTGTATCAACAAATCAGTAGGTAAACATTTTTAATAACAGGCGAGCAAGATTTTCATATTTTACCTCCGGATCAGGGCCCCATGTCGAAAACCTGCTCTCAGGCAACTAGGTTAGTACAAAACATGAATAACAAAATGTAGATGCTGCTCAAAAAACGCATATCTTACATGGAGGGCAGTCCACCAGTTTTAATCTTGACTAATTGTTCGGAAAACTTGATTGTCATATTGGCCGGCGTTGCATTATCAGTAGTAGCGGCAGTAGTAGTAGTAAGAGTAGCCAAACGCTTGAACATCTGAGCCCCATCATCGCCATTGATAGAGCCCACGGGTATACGCACATGGGTATATCTCTCCAAATCAATTTCAACTGCAGTGTTTCCCGGTTGACTATAGATCAACAAACCCACGGCGCCTGCATTTTGAGCATGCATCGCCTTTTGACCGAAATCACAATTGCCGCGACGCAAGAGTACCACGTAACCTGTCAAATCGTGCAGAATAGGATCACATCCAGAACTTGCAATATTGGACGAATGGTTGCTAATCAAAGCCATGACGGGAAACGTAGTGTGATTTGTTGGGAACTTTCCTTTTGCAACAGACAGGGTATATTCTAAATTGGTAGATAGATATGAGTTCTCTCAAGAGCTTCTATGGCAAACATGGCTGGCAGTATTGTTATAGAATTTTTACCGTAAGTGATGGTATCATTGTCATTGCTGTCGTTGGTGGAAGACAGAGTGAATACGTGTCCGAATTTTGCGTTGTTATCCATGGATGCCACGGCTAAAACATGGTCCCCGACAGCGGGTGACGGTGTTCGTTCGATGCCTGTCAGATGTCAAAATTATAGGTGAGGTCGCTATGAAATCAAAAAACAGCTTAACCTTTTTTTCTTTATAAGAAATGGCGTTATCTTTAATTTTCTCACCATCACGTCCTTCATTTCCTTGTGCAACAGCCACAAAAACTCCTTGGTCTGCCATATTAGATAACGCAACAGCGAGCGGGTCCTAGTTTTTTTATTTATTTATTTAGGTTTGTTGATATACACGTTAGCGTATATACCGTTCATCATTAAGAACGTTTCCACATGCTGTTTTTGGTTTACCTCCTGCCAAGCACTGACTCCTCCGCCGAGTGACAAATTGATAACATCCATACCCGCCTTCATTGCCATTTCACTATAGAAATACAGTGGTATATTAAAGCTGAAACTTATATAGATGCTACTCCGTGATGAAGTCCAAATGATTTTGTTTAAGAGACGTACGCTGCCATCAAAATGATATCATCTTCAGTATCTCCATTGCACCCGAAAATACTAACAAATTTCTGTTAGTTACAAGGAAACTTGTAGCTCGTCATGAATTGACTTACCGCCATGCGCCAAGAGTTGCTTTCGGTGCCACTCCTTCGAATCCCTTTGATTATGAGAACGACAATTTTCTTGTCAGTAAACAAAAAGTAGCTCGTACTTGTCGACTAGTACATTTATATGCGAGGTATAACACTTTACATTACAATACCTTAATATCATCCTTTGCACCGATGATACCAGCAACATGAGTTCCGTGTCCATCACATTGATCCCTGTTCGAAATGAAAAGGAGAGAAGAATAAAGATCTTGGGCACGTATGTACATAAAAGATAGCTGAATAGCTTACATGGGGTCATTATCTGGATCGACCGAGCTGTTTGATTCTATATACATTTGTTGGATACATCTTATATGTTTGGGAAATAACTCTCTACATGTTTGCGCTCTCTGTCTTTGATAAAGTATACAATTAAAGGTAGCTGCTTACCACCATAATCATCGCCAACTAAATCATGTCCATACGCGACCCGACATCCGTCCTGTAGTTTAAACATGATATTATAAGAGATTGATTAATAATTCTCGCTAGTATATACAGAATGGTCAAGAACGTCAAATGTAACTTCTTACTCCAAAACATCCACCGAGTGCTGGGTGTGTATAATCGATACCTGTGTCTATCACACCAATTTTAATCCCTTCGCCGGCCAATCCATCCTCTGAACGAACACGATCAACAGTTGTCATTGCGTGTGCGACCTGCAAGTTTGGCAAACCCGAATCCACGGCACTACCAGCGGATCGTCTAGGCGATCGTTGGACATTAGGTCTGCTGTACCGCTTGCCGGGCCAGTATCGATGAACATAGGGACAAGAATTCAATGTTTGTGCCAAAAATAGGGATGGGTGAATTTCAGTTGCTTTTGTAGAATTGATACTCTCATGATCTGTTGCTATGGTAACGTTAGCGTCGGCTGCGGTAGCATGGTAAATCGTATCGTTGTTATGATTATTGTTGCTAGGCAATGACGACGTAAGAGTTGTAAGGGATGGCAGTGGCCCGTTCAACTGGACCGACATGCCATTCATCACATCATGAAAGCGGTATCGAACAGTTACATTCACGCCATGTTGTTCCAAATAACTAAGAAAGGCATCCTGTTCTACTGTGGTGCGGTTGTTGCCGGGAGGGGATCGGAATTGGACGGTGAAGCGTTGTGGCGAGCGACGATCGGTGTGTCTACCCAACACTATCGGTAACACCAAGCAGAACCAAGCTGCAACCGCCAGCCAATAAAAGCCCTTGCTCCGCATTATTTTTACCATTATTGTTGGGCGAGCACTAGAGAATAAGAAAAAAGGAAGCGGGTGAACTTCTTTTTATTCTGGGGAACTCATCTACACCTCTTTGTCTTTTCTTGGTATGCTTTGGTTGACATCCTAATATGCAACATTCCTTCCAAAAATCGATCGATGAGTGTGGGAATGATCTATTGGCTGTAAAGCAAGCAGCGTTTTATTCACTTATTTTGGTGTTTTATTCTACATTTACGCATATCACTATCTCACACAGCACAAGCAGGATAAAGAAAAAAGCTTTTTGGGTAGAGTATGTATAGGGATGTTGTAATAGGTAATTGGTCCGGCAATTATAGTTGGAGATAAGCGGAAGATTTTTTTTTTCTTCCAGCTACCGTCCTTGGCGGAAAAGCAAGAAGAACTGTATTGGACAGAAATTCCTACACACCGCAAAACCAGATATACCTTTTTGGGAAGAGCATATAGTGATAAGGCTAAATCCGTGTGTAACGATGGCAGCCAGCGGGGAAGTAATGGGAGCCTTCCTTTAAAGTCGAGCCTCGAGCTTCTTTTGGTAGCAACCATATTGATCTGGATCACAAGCAGCAAATATGCCTCCGATATAGCCTCTTTTAGATATACCAACCAGCAGTGTTGTATTGACACACCGTGTGGATGGGCGATTTGGGGTAAAGAAGGCAGGGCCGACTGACAAGCAGCAGTAGGTTGTAGATTTCAACAAAGATAGTACCCGATCCCATGTAACACACTGACCGTGGTAAAAAAAAAATTCTAGCTTTGCTCGGCACCTACCGCCAAAGTGAAATATATGCCCAACAAGGGAAAATGCACGTAATGGCGTGCGAAAAAATTATCAAATAGGAAGCAGCACTGTCAAAATTGGTGATAGACATGTAGGCAAGATAAGATATAGTTATGGTGCGTGCGCACTGATACCAAAGCTTTTTTTCCAGAGATACTTTGCAAAGATGATGGACATAATGTCAGCATCCAAAGCTTGTTTAATCTTTGTGTGGCCGAGCACACACATCAGGACCAGCTACACCAACAGGAAATAGCCGCTACGTACTATTGCCCCGGTTAACATAAGTGCGGCGACCCAAATGTCGATGTTTATGGCAAGATTCACAGGTCAGACGGTTAGAAAACTTTATGATTCGCCGCTATTTGGTTTAGCTGATTTGGAACAGTAACCGCTGAAAACAAAAAAGATCAAGACGAACCACTTAGATGCTTTGCAACAACGACAAATTAGGATTCCCAGCAAAATACGAAGAGCTGATGGTATATATAAAGGGGTCCTCTGTTGTGTATAATTCCCCTTCGCTTCTTGCTTCAGCCCTTCTTCTTTTCATTCCTCTTCTTCCTTCTTCAGTGCAGGCCACTTTCGCACACTTGCGTCGAATTCTTCAACATGAATATTACCAATCTCTTTACGCGAAATAATCAAGATCAGTCACAGCAAGATGCGGGCTCGTTCAAGATCAAGGACGAAAAGTCCCAAGTGGTCCAGCACGCTATCGAAGATTACATTGAAGAAGATGACCGAAATTCCGAGAAGGTTGACTTTGGCCACGGCACCGGTAGCTTTGCTACGGCCTATTTCAACGTTGTCTGTGTTGTTGCAGGCACTGGTACTCTGGGTCTGCCCCACGCATTCGCGCAGGGTGGCTGGCTCGGTATTCTCATTCTGATTCTTGCCTGGGCCATGGCTGTTTACAGTGGTATCATCTTGATCCAATGTCTGTACTGTAAGCCTGGCGAGCGTCTCCATGATTACAAACAGATTGGCAAGGCAGCCTATGGTAACGTTTTTTCTTTTATTGATCAGAATCAACAACTTTTGTCTCTTTTTGATTTGTAACGCGACGCTAACTTTCAACAAAATTTTTAGGTTGGGTTGGCTATGCTTTCGCTTCATTGTTCCATATTCTCAATTTGTTCGGCTGTCCTGCTCTTTACCTTGTGTTGGCATCTACCAACTTGCACTCTCTTTTGGAACATACCGTACGTATATACATCCTTTCAAAAGACCCGATTTATAACTGTCATTGGCGTAAGCTCGTATTAACTAGAAGTATGATTTTTCTTTTATCAGTCTGGCGCTCTTACCCGACCCATCTGGGCTGTTATCGTTGCCTGTGCCCTTCTTATCCCCATGTTCTCTTTCAAGACCTTGAAAGAAATCACCATCATGGCTGCTGTTGGCGCCATCACCACTATGATTGCCGTCTTTGTTATCGTTATTGAGAGCCCTATCGACCACAACGCCAACCCTCAACGCACAGTTATTCACGACGGTGTCATCTGGACTGGTTTCCCCTCCGCCTTGTCTACTATTGCTTTCTCTTTTGGTGGTAACAACACTTATCCTCACGTCGAGCACGCTCTGAAGAAGCCTCACCAATGGAAGTGGGCTGTAACTGCCGGCTTATCCACCTGCACCGCTCTTTACTTTATGACCGCCGTTCCCGGCTACTGGAGTTTCGGTCGTGACGCTATGTCTCCCATCTACGACTCGCTCCCCTCTGGTGAAGCTGCTCAGATTGTCGCCAAGATTGTCATGACCATTCACGTTATCTTAGCCATTCCCATCTACGCCACTTCGTTTGCCTTGGAGTTCGAACATTTTTGCCGCATCGATGAAGAAAAAATCGGTAAACTCTATGCCTTCTTAGGCCGTGCCGCTGTTCGTACTGTCACCATGGTCATCTTGTGTATCTTGGCTATCTTCATTCCTTACTTTGACGCCTTCATGAGCTTGATCGGTGCCCTCTGTAACTGCAGTCTGGTGTTCTTGATCCCAGTTCTCTGCCATTTGAAGCTCTTTGGTATCCGAAGACCTATTTACGAGTTGGCCTTCTGTGCTTTGACTCTCGTCCTTGGTATCGTTGGCTGTGTCTTTGGTTCCAAGGATGCCATCGAAGTGCTCAAGGGTTACTTTGAAGAAGATGCTTAAAGAAGAAGCCGTGCTTCTTTTCAGAAAACCTTCTTAATACTATAATCCGATATCCTCTTTGTATCCGCTTCCCTCCCTTTTCTCTTTATCCCGCCGTTCAAATTGTAGGAAGTAATTTTTTGTCACCCTTCTAGTACTTTTTATCTTGTAATTGTTTATTATTTTTTCCCTGACAAAGTATGTAAATATATATCCCTCTCTTTTTCTATACAATAAGTAAATTACCTCCACATGTTTGAGTATGAATTATGTGCTTGTTAATTTGTTACAACGACGACGTAAAATGACGAAACCAACTCCTTCAACCGGTAGGACAGAGCAATCCGCCTGTTGCAGGCGTTGCGACGATGCTCGGATTATAGCTTGTCCATTCAAGCCCAGCGATATGAATCGTGATCCAAAACTGCAGCTGCAGCGCTTCATGGGAAATTTCAACACACGCCCGCCGCAGACTGGAAAAAATTGGATCCGACGCTTGACGTGCCTCGTAATCAATGTAGACTGGGATGTTGACTTGGGATATAGAGCGTGCTGGCAAATCAACCTGCTGCCCCTCTTGTTGCTGCTGCTGCTGAAGGTGGCGACCGATGACTGTGCCCGAGCTCTTGACGACAGTTTCCATCGTGAAATGTAAGGGGATATAGTTTTGCCGATTGTCAATCGAAGCTGTGACGGACCAGGCACTTTCAAATGCCACGTTGCCAGCGTTGGTAAAGTGTGTTTCCGTGATACTGGGTGACTGTAAAAGCGATGCGCCGTCAATGCGGAATAGCGGTGTGCGTGGCCAAGTCAGAAATGTAGTGATAGCACCAGCCATTAGAATGGCAAACGTTGTGATAACACAGACAGTGCGTCGTTTCCGCTTTCGACGGGAAGCATTGGTGGCTTTGTCGTCTTGTTCCTGCACTGCCTGGGTGATGCTTTTTTCTATGTCGAGATATTTCGTGGTGTTGTTGTAGAGGTTGTTGCTACATTGACAGTGGCACTGGTGCTGCTGATGTTTCTGTAGATGAGGGCGTACACTCCGCTGCTGGTGGTGGTGGTGGTGCTGCTGCTGGTGGCGTCGGCGATGGCGGTCAGATTTGGCTACAGGACGAGCATCCGACGTCGATCGAGTTGATACTTCACGTGAGCAGAAAGGAAAGTAAAGTCAGACCAGCGAAAATAGAAAAGCTAGGGCGGAATCTGTTCGCTCGTTATTTAATATTACCTGACTCTAACTCTAGAGAAAGCCGTGAGTCCGACACTTTGCTGCTGCTGCTCCCCACATGGAAGGATGCAAACAGCCGGCTGAAGGCTGACGTGGACCGCACTATGGATGATGCCAGGTTCTCGACTGCAGTTTCATTGGTATCATCGTTCGATGCTTCTTTCTCTTTCTCCTGTTGCCTTGTCGCGCTTCTTTCTTTCTGGGACATGAATTGTTCAGCAATTGAAAGGCGTGGTGTCTCTTCTCTTTTCTTGGTAGCGACAATGTTTGTTCGATCCGTGCTCCCGGTGCCATTGTGCGACAACGACGGCGACGATGACGACATAAACTGTTCCGCAATCGATAATTGTGGGGGTGGCAGTGGTACGGCTGTTGGCTGGTGTCGTCGTTGGTGTCTTTCCTCATAATGGTGTGGCGACGACCGACGACGACTACGACGATCAACCCCGCCACCGCTCGTCATAGGGGTTGACTTTCGTCGTCCTTGTGAAGCTGATGCTGCTGCTGAAGAAGAAGAAGGTATTGCTGGCTGTAAAGTGTGTCTGCGCATCTCGAAAGAGTGGTGCTGATTCGCACCGTGTTCTCGCATGATGTCTATCCAAACAAAGAAAAAGAGAGAAAAGAGAAAAGGGAAACGTGAAGACAAGACATGTTTGTGTGAAAAATAGAAAATAAAGAATCAAAGCAAGGGAGCTGTACTTGTCTTGCGCTTTTGGGTGCTCATCTCTGCCCCTCCTGCCGCCGGTAAATACGCCCCTGCCCGAGTGTATTTGACGAGGCTTCCTTCCCTTTCCGCTATGAGCACATACACTGTACGTATATACTACAGATTAACTGCAAAATGGCCTATTCCGCGTCTATTTCCGGAGCAATTATACATGCATCCCCAGGAGAAGCATATACGCCGCTCTAACATACGCACTGTAGTCGTACCCCTTACTATATGTATGTTTTTATTTTGCTATGATGTTATGTGCATAGTACCTGCTACACCACCATCATTGGCACAATACACTGGAATACCCTGCCTCAGCTCTCCTTCCTTCTTAAGCATGAAGCGGCGACCAGAGCTATGGGCGTATTAATGCACATCTGTGCATTGTTTATTGTTTAAAGGAGAAGGTTATTTTTACAGTTGTGCTTGTTGCTGGATGTTGGCTAAGTTATCTCCTGCGCACTGTTATGCTTGTCCCGTGCGTGTCACTAAGCATCTAGTAACCGATACTGCGTCTCACACACATGAGGTGGCGCCAACATGAGTGCCTCCCGGTTGCGGTTGTGCGCGATACTACCCCATGGCGGGATGATAACATTGCATTTGTTACCAATAGTAGCAGCGTAAACAACCATGTCCTGATTTCTTCTGTAGCACACCTACCTTTATTCACCTATAAGCAGACAAACTTAGACTACCACGGTCCAACTTGTTTGGCAAGAAAAAAGAGATCGACGATATCACTGCCATTTTCTCTTGCTCTATTCCATTTATCCGAGAGTCAAACAGGATATGTGCCTTTGATACTGGCCGATAATTAATTTTTCCCATTTTTCCCCCTGGTACTGAAGATCCGCCACTCACCCTCTCTTTCTCTCCCAAAAAGATTTAAAAAAAGACCAGAGATCATATAACCTCTATCCAACCCTCGACCCCCACCCCCATATGAACACAAATGTTCGACAATGGCGACCTAAAAACTCTTCGTCTAAATATGATTTCATCAAAGTGCGGGTCCACTTGTCGAATGAACACTACTATGTCTTGTCACGATTCCTTTTGTCACGCATGTTGACTGCAGCTCGGATCGATTACGGCCATGCTTTACGAATTGCACTCGATCTAAAGAAAAGACTTGTCGAGAAATCGCAGCTGGATGTTTCCCAACAAGACTTGCAAGAAGAACTTTTCGGACTGTTAAAGCAGCACGGATATGGTGAAGCACACGTACAGTGGTACAAAACTTTGGCAAGGTATATATATATCTACCATCATCCGTCATATGTTACTCCCCGCCCATATTGTAATTGCATTTGTATTCTAACAACATACACGTACACGCGCATATATAGTTTCTATCATCAGCGGATTCCGTTGGTTGTCTTTATTGCAGGCACGGCATCTACTGGCAAGTCCACAGTGGCAACGAGACTTTCTGAACGGTTGAATCTTTCTTCTGTATTAAAAACAGACGTCATATACGATTTGATGCATACGGTCATTGAGTAAGTTTCTATCTTTAATTTGTTGCCGAGTTTTTCTTCTGCCGTGATCAACCTGTATTAAACTGGCCCTGCATATACAGTGGAAAGGCACCAGCATCGCTTTGGTCAGCAAATCCTGCTGAGGGGCAAGACTTTCAAGATGTAGTGGCCCGAGAATGCTCGCTTGTGTGTCGAGGTAATTGTGGGAAACTGGACATATAGCTTTGTTTGTGGAAAAGCTGAAAAATACACTGTTTAATAGGCCTGGACGGGGACTTGGGTAAATCGATCACCGAGGGTAAATCCATCATCATTGAAGGATCGTTGGTCGACCACAACTTACTGGACCATATCCACGACTATGTCAAGAAACTATCGGCGAAGCAACATACAGTCATTGTGGCGCCATTTTTGCTTACCTTGCCTGAAGAGGAATTAAAGCGACAGCTGCTGGACGGTCAAGGAGAAAATGAAGGGGCGACATGGTTTGAACGCGCACGCAATCTCCAGCTGAATTTGTTGCACACCAACAATACACGGAAACAGTCCAACATGCCTACATTCTACGCGATGCCTGTCAATATGGAAGATATCCAAACCACGATCGACGCAATGCAATCCATTGTGCTTGCTCAAATTGCAGAAAAGACGTGAAACGATTTCATCACACATACGTAAACTTCTAATATCAAATCAGGACCAGTAATTCCTGGTATATCATCTCATCCCACCAATTCGAATTAGTTCATACATTCCATAACAAACCATCGTCGTGTGACCATGGGGAAACTGTTGTCAAATGAAAAAAAAAAGTTTATTTTTCTCACAATAGATAAAGAAAGAGAGGAGTGCTACAAACCCGACCTGTACAACATTGGCTGGTGTAGCCGGGGATTCTGTGCACAACAACCTAACTTTTTCATTTCTTCGGGTGCTGTGCTGTTTGTGTGCGTGTAGTACTTCACATGTATCTGAAAAGCAAGTTTCGCATCTTTTTCACAAAGCGAATTTTTCTTCTCCTTTCTCTCCCTTTCTGTTTATTTGTTTGGGTGCCATGCAGTTTCTCGTCTATAAATATTTAGTCCGCCATGCCACGCTAATACTGTTATTACTATCTACGCTCACTGCTGTAACTGGATTTACGATCGGAACACCCTCACCAAACAGTCGAATCGAAAGAAACGCGCAATTCATCGTTACATGGTCCGGTCTAACCGGCAACGTCTCCAGCCTGACGCTCGAATTGGCACAGGGGCCTAGCGCCAATGCATTGTTAACTAAGGCAACCCTTGCCACAGATGTTCCTGCAGCTAGCGGATCTGAAACTGTTAGCTTACCTAGCACCATTACCTCTGCCAACAATTACTATCTGCGCTTACGAGGCAACGATACCCCAGCATCCGTCGCAATTCAAGGTCCCATCACCATTTATGTATCAGCGGCTTCAAGCGGTGCAGACCCATCTTCCTCTTCTTTTTCGCTTATCCTGCCTCGACCCTCGTCTTTGTCATCGTCGGCAAGCTTGTCCGTTTCCCCTACATCAATGTCCTCTTCCGCAGCATCAGCATCGAATTCGGATCAACAGAGTGTCACTTCGTCATCTGCAGCAGAAGAAACGTCCAATGCAGACGATGATCCGCAGGATAGCACAGTGGACAGTAGTAATGGCAGCAATAGTTCTTTATCAAGTGGGACAATTGCGGGTATTGCAATAGGCGCTGTGGCCGGTGCTGGTATTGTATGTGATCTTCAGATAAAAAGAAGCAGGATAGAGAAAAGGGCTTTTAATTCTTGTGTTACTCATAAATGCTATTATGTGAATGATGGATAAAAAAAGATCGTTGGCGTCATGATATGTGTTCGACGCGGTAACCGTGACGGTGATGATCGATTTGAAACTTCCTCAGAGATCTTCGCAAGCCCACCTGGATATCATGCCGAAACCAAAGATGCTGCGGCTGCGCCAGCACCAGTCCGTCAGCGTCAAGAATATGCTTCATCACCGAGACAACCAATGCAACAGCAAGGGGGCCAATTCTACTCAACTGGCTATGACAACGCGTATTATAACGCAGCCCCCGGCCCATATTATCAACAACAGCAAGCTGGATACGATCAGTATAACAATTACGGATACCATCCAGCAGCAGTGTATATGCCGAGCCTCACTTCGTCAGCTGGTCAGCAGCAGCAACAGCAACAACAGTATGCTGGATATCACGACGATGGCAGCCCGTATTGGGATCCAAATCAGCAGCAGCACTATCTTCCGGAGCAAGGCTATTACAATAGCACACCTCCACATCCACAGCAGCAGCCGCAACCACAATCACGACTTGACCCACCTCATTCACCAACCAGCGCACATAATTAATATATATCGACTTTGTCATCGACATTACACCCGTCTTTCCCTTCCTTATGCTGTATCTGTATCATATATACAAGTTTTCCTTCGTTTAATACTTTGTTCATGTAGCATCTATTTTAATCCACTTGGCTTTCGAGCGTTTTCACCATAACATCCATGATTTCTTCAGAGTAGCTGGTCAAATCGAGTTCAGGTCGATGCATCTTGGCAGTTAGCCAGTTGTTCTAGTGGAAAGAAAGGAAAATAGCATCAGATAAACATAAACCGTGTGTGACATAAGGAGCAATATAAGACCAGAGAGAATTTACCAATTCTGTACGTAAAAACTTCAACAGAGCAGCAGAACGAGCAAAGCACTCGAATCTCATCCATCCGTCCAATATTACACGTCGTTGTTTGTGCTAGTCAAACAAGGTGGCAGATGTATACCAGTATGAGCAAACCCGTTAAACGCACCTGTACATATATTCCAAATAGAGCCTCTTACCTTGATTTCCATATCCGCTGCCAACAGCATGACAGCCACTGGATCGACTGTGGTGGCTTCCCAGAGATAAATTTGCTCGCCGTTCATGACTATGGTGTTGTACACCAAAAAGTCGCTTGAAAGCATCCGCTGTCGTCCAAAAAGCATCGACGATGGATGAATCTTCATACCGCTCAATTTGTTGTTGTAAAACACCTCATTGTCACGTTCTGCCAATTTTGGATAAAGTCCGGACATGATGGATGCATTGACAACAGGCACTGATCTTGCATAAACGTTGTACGCCGAGGGTACCTTGCACCATTTGGTCTGTCGTTTGATTTCGTATTGGTCGATAAGATCACTCGTGTCATCCGCCTTGACAAATCCAATACTGATAAGCAAACCAAGGTATTGGCGCTTCATGTCCTCAATCATCTCCAGATTGTCATGGCTCAGGAAATTCTTGTCGCAAAACTCACGGATCTTGCGGCGCCAGCCGGCTTTTTGTTGCAATAGCTTTTGAAGGTGACCACGCCAGGTATCGTACGCTCTGTAGATCGTCCAGAAATCGGAATCAGCTACATAATTGCGTACATGTTCAGGTGAGTTATAAATATAAAGAATGTTTGATGTTTTTTAGGTTACCATAACGGAATTTTGCACGAGCGATATCCGCTTCAGTCTCTTTTCCAAAAGGTCGGACAAACGGGCTCTTGAAACTAAGTGCAGCGGCAATGGTAAGGACAGGATCAAGGCACCGGAACAGAGCACCAAACAAGATCATTTTACCGATATGTACATCTACAGGCAGATTTGCTAAATGAGCACCGAGCGATGTCAAGGTCTGTGTATCATCCAAGGATAATGCTTGCACCTAGCAAAAACAAAAGCAGAGTAAGTCCAACATTGTCCTATGGGTGCGTTTTCCCTCTTGATAGTATTGTTATACACTTACTTCTTGTAAGGTTTGGATGGCGTTATCCACCAAATCTCTGGAGGGTGCATCAAGGGCGCTATCGAGCACGTCTTTGATGGATCCCAAATCACACACTTTGATACGGAGACAAAGCTCCTCAAGAGGCAAGCGCATAATCTCGGGTGTTTCGTAATCAGCCATCTGTACCAGGGCGAGAAGAAAACTAATCAGTAACACTGCTTTTCCTACATGGCGTATCTTAAAACCTTTTTTTTTTAAATCTACCTCTGAGAACTTGTTTTGCGTGAACAAATGGAAACAAAGACCTTCCTGAACACGGCCAGCGCGACCACGTCTTTGTCGAGCATTTGCTTTAGCAACAAACATTTGTCGCAGGCGAGTGATACGCTTCTTCTTATCATAGCTATAGATTTTCAAGACTGTTAGTTTATATGTCTTGTCATCCGACCAGCTATATATCTTACCTAACAATTTTCGCCATGCCCGTATCGATGACAACCGTGACATCACTGATTGTTACACCGGTTTCAGCAATGTTGGTGGACAAAACAATCTTGCGCATACCATTTGGAGGAACGTCGAACGCTTTTTCTTGGTGCTCAGAAGAAAGTGTGGAGTGTAAAGCGATCAACACAAATTTCTTCGCATCGCCGAGTACGTGGTGGGCAGATATGAGATCATAAAGTCGTCGGATTTCAGGCATACCAGGTAAAAACACCAGGATAGCGCCGGTCTCTGGCACTTGTTTGCTCATTGCAGTTTTTTGTTCGCGACTTCGAATACAAATGTAATCCAGTAGGTCCAAGATAAGATCATAATTGATACGATTTTCGTCGATACGTCGAATCATTTTTCGTGTTTGTTTGCTGTACTTGACCGTTTGTTCGCTGCCACAGCCTTCTCCTTCTTCGTTCTCTCCATCTCCGTCGTTTTTCTTTTCTTCTGTTGCCGTTGTCGATGAGTCGGACCGACTCACAGTTGTCAGTTTAGACTCTACGGTTGTTGGATCGTATGGATCCTCATCGTCCGTATCCTCTTCGAACCAGTCCAATCGTACGCGACGGGATGTGCCATGTTTGCCAGTAACATCGATATTGCCTTGATCTAGAGTGTGTATTGCATACAATTTGGGTGAATCAAGTCTATGTATTAGACAATTTCTATTCTTTTTTTGCAAAAGCAAATAAATAATTACCTCGTTTGATACGTTGTCGTTTCAGGGCAAATGGCGAGTCTTCTTCCAAAGTATATCCTGCATGTATACACACACATATAAGTATATCATCTGGGTAGCTTTCTACTGCAGATGATGTATAACTTTAGAATGTTTGCCTTCTTACCTGTGGCTTCGATTACATCTTCTAGGTATTGGACCTGAACAGGGTAGGTCCGACCGGGAACAGAAATTACAGGGCAGTAGCCAAAATACTCTGAGAACTTGTGTGCTTCTACAGTCGCACTCATCAATATAATACGCAAATCCGGCCGGATGCTGCACAGTCGCCTCAATATTACGAGAAGGAAATCGCTTTCAAGTGTGCGTTCATGAACTTCGTCGACGATGACGTGAGTAACACCATCCAAAGTTCGGTCACTTTCGAGTCGACGCAACAGAATACCCTATATGCATTCCATTAATTCATGAGGATGATTATTCTCCATTGTTTTTGTCTTACCGTTGTACAAAAGACCAAAACGTTTTCGTCTGCTACCCTACTCTCCAATCGAATCTGGTAGCCAACCATGCCGTTTTTTGTTCCAAGAGAACGGGGCCAGTCGCCCATTTCAACGGATACTCTCTTGGCAATAGAAACAGCAGAAATTCTTCGTGGCTAATGAGAACATACCATATCAGTAAGTTGTACAGGAAACAGTGGTAAGTCCAATGAGCCGAGAAAAGAAAAACCTTAATTACCTGGGTACAAATGACAGATCCAGCAGTACTCGAGCCTTGTAGCAGGTATTCGGCGATAAACTGGGGCACCTGAGTACTCTTACCACTATATACGCATAAGAGAAAAGTGAAATTTGTTAGTTTTATACACTACTAGTCGTATTATTCTTCTTCATGAGTGAGTTTAAGCACCACTCCAGTAATTACCATCCAGTTTCGCCAGATACTATGAGTACTTGGTGACCGTTTACAAGTTCCAAGACTTTGTCTCGGTAGCTAGCCATTGGCAGTTCCTCGCGTTTTTTCTTAATGAAATTATCGTTGTTTTTGTATATAAGATTTTAGATGTGTGTCTGCAGATTACTAGACGTCAGCAACAGCTACAAAAAAACCTATTGTTTACCTTCATTTTCACATACTCCTCCGTTTTCAACCGTTTTTGGAAATTGTTTTTGGTTCGCGCAAAAGTTTGTTTCCGTTTTGTAACCATGTTCTTCGAGCCACCAGCAGCACCAGCCTCATCTTCATTTGGCAGATCTTCTTTTTCATGGGTATCAAACTATATATACCGAGTGTAGTAATGAGAATCACATGACCTCAGGTTAGCGTTGTAACAAGTATAATGTCACTAGTTCGAACTTACACTGCCTGGCGTCTTTGCGCGACCGTATGATTCGTTGATCAAATCAACAAATAATTCCATACGCTTGCGATCTGCTTCGATGCGTTGCTCTTCTTCCAGTTTGTTCTATATACGTATAGTGAACAGTTAATATTTGCGTATCAAATGCGAATCTGTTTTTTTTCTTTATCATGTCTTTCCTTTTTTATTTAGTCTTACCTTTGCATCAAGCCATTCCAGCCAAAGGTCCTTGAATACCACCGGCATAATCTTATATACAGCTGAGTCGGCATCCAGCTCAAAGAGGCAAGTCGTCTACGAGGTCAAAGCTCGTTTAGTGGAAATCGATATCTCTTTTTCTTTCACACACAAATAAGACATAATAGATACATACCGAAACAAGTTGTTCTGCTCCTTCCTTTGTAACAGCCGCAAGATCCGGTGACAGTTCAAAAATTGTCGGTTTGTCTTGTTTCTGTGGAGGTGTGAGCTTGACTGCGGCTCTCCAGCAGGTCCGATTAATCTCAGTTTTGGTGTAGGATGGCTTCAGATCACCATTGCGCCTGCAGTACTCTGCCAACATATCTTTGGGATAGCGACCTTTCCAGTTTGGAGTTGCCGTATCAATGATGTTGTATGATACGACAGTATTTGCAGTCGTCACTGGTTCTACATTGTTGTCGTCGTCTCCCATCAATGCACCAAAAAGACCGCCTTCCTCATCGTCACCATCTTCATCACCTCCAAATCCTGGACCAAAGTCCAAGGGATCAATATCCGCAGCTTCCTGTGTCGCCTCTTCATTGGCTATTCTAGCAGCTTCTTCTTCTCGTTGCTGCTGACGTAACTTTTCACTTTCTACGCGACGTGCTTCTGTGGCCTTTTTCTGCTCTTCTGAGTAAAGAGCCTGTGCTCTTCGCTTGTCAAATTCATAATTTGCTTCGAGATCGCGTATAAGTTTGCGCAGCTGATCAATCTTCGCTTCTGTTTCTTTGACATTGCTGATATCTCCTGAGAGATTGGTTTTCTTTTTCTTTTTCGATTTGCCGGAGGACGATGATATCTTGTCTTCTAGTTGTGATAGTTCGACTTTATGTTTTGCATATCTTTCATTCACATCTTCTTCTTCCTCTTCATCGTCCTGTTATATTTAACGACTCTTCGGTTTAGTAGATCTGGACGCCAAAAGAGCCGAGTGGGGAGGAGATGGATCGATAAAAACAAAGGTATATTATACACTTACGTAATACTCCTGAGCGGCCCGCAATATCCTAGATTTGAAATCATCATCTGCCGTATTTTCCTTGATCTCTTCTCTTTTAAACTTGACGTCGCTCTGAGGCGCCTGTGCTTCCGTCACTCGTGTTTTCCCGCCTTCTTTCTTATCATCGGCGGCAACGTCAGCTCGAATTGACAAGCCTAGTAAGAAAAATAAAGTTTACAGTTAATATCTTGGTCTTCAATATTCACGTGCTCAATTTAAGAAAATACTACTTTACCTTCTTCTGTGAAATATTTATCGAAAAATCCAACAGGCATTTTCTCATATGGCAAATGAACGCAGAGCTGGATAAGAAATTAAATGATTAATCATCCTACCTCCTCTTTTCTCCTTACGAACTTGAGCATATGATAATCAAACCCACCCAATCCAATAGGTCGTCAATGTTCGAGGATACTGTGGCCCTGAACGCCTGATCAACATCATCGTTTTCGAAACCCAATTTGACAAGCGTACGGTGAGTAACATCCATTTGACCGATGAAGCGGTCCCGGTCCAGTGGATGAGGTTTTCTCCGGCCCAAACGTTTTGCTGCGGCTACATCCAATTTACAATTTCCCTCGATCAATGATTTATATCACTACTATTGCTGCCAGTAATGTATATCAAACCTTACCAAAAGTATCCAATCGGCCCTGGTGCTTCAGCACCTGCAAAAGATCATATTCTATGTTTGCAGTCAGTGCAAACGGTCGCACTTTGCCGTCCTCTTTGTCGGGCTGTGACAACTCATTAACCATGGTGACCGATTTGCGATCGTTGACCGATCCAAAACGTTTCGCCAGACGTAGCACCATGTCCGATTCAGACTCGGGCTGTTCCAGTGGAGGTGAAGTTGTCGTTTTTGATTTTTTGGGTAGAGACTTTGTTGGCTGAGACGCTGGTAGAACATTTTTCTGCTGCTGTGCTAATGTTGCTCCGAAATCACCGATGATCTTGCCGTCGTCAACGGGTGCTTGTTCTGGAGTTGCTGCTGCTGTCGTTGTTGTCGCTGTTGTCTCGGCAGAGGTATTTTCGTCAGAGGTAGCCTTTTTCGCTGGTGCAGCTCCAATTACAGCGAAACCGCGATTGACAGAGTTCTTGAAAGTGGATTTCTTCTTTTTGGGCATTTTAGAGAAACTGAACGTGTCAAAACGCGAGGGGAAAAGAAAAAAAAGCGGTGCTCGCGACCGTTACATTGATGAATTTTATAGTCTGTGTCACACTGGGCTGCATTTGTAATTGTGGCATTTCTGACGTGTTTTGATGGTGTTTTTTACAAAGTATTGCTTATTTTAGCAAATAAAGGTGGATGAGGTGGTGGTTGCTCATATTGGAAGAATCGACCTCACAGGAGCCAAGTGTGCAAATTTAGTTCATTTGTTTGCCAAAGTTACCATCGGTATTTTGACATTTAGCACAGAGTTCCTCTTCAGGTAGGCTAATCACTCAATAACCTCGATTCTTAGTTAGAGCAGTATTGACGTCGTATGCTTTGCCATCCTTGAGCCATAAAGATTTGTTCATGTACGGAGCCCTCTTTCGTCAAGCCAAGAGTCGAGTTGCCGCCAGGACTAACAAATCACGAATTATCTGTTGCAGCGCTTTCATAGCACACATACAGAAGTAACACTAAAGTATAACGATAAAGGCAGGTCAGGCACATCATAACACGATTTATTGACATGTTTATTTTTCTATGGTACATACAGACTTGGACTTTCTTTCTCGTCTTTTTCTAAAAGAAAAAAAGGTGTGGGGCGTGGAAAACAGCTCTCCTTATCGTACTTGATGCATTCGATATAAACATACATCGTTTTTGTGAAGAAGTTGTTGTAAAATGACTATTATAAAAGCGAGTTTTATGGCTTTGTCGGTCTGATTAGCTTGGTGTTTCGTTTCTTCTACTTCTTGACAATGCTAAATAAATCAAACTGCTTCTCAACAATTTTTACATAGCATGGAATGAATGAACTAAAGAGGGCACTATTGAATATATACCATTGGGTACTAGATCGAGAACCGTTTTAATTAATGAAAACCTTTTGATCTTTTAAAGTCTGGCAGTCAATTTTGCAACTAAAAGCTTAGCCTATGTACTCGTATGTTTTTCAAAAGTTGGAGAACAACTACAACTCAATTTAGCAGTAGCAGTGATAGCAACTCGGTAACGAATAATCTTGGTAAATAATTCGACCTTGGGATACAGGAGCAGCTAAATTGCATCAATCTGGATTGTCACTCACTGTTGTATTCATGTTTGTATGTAACATCAGGCTCAATGCTTAGCCCTTTATATATTATTCTACAGTGCCTTTTTGTGCCTGAGCAATAGAGGAGACCGACTCTCTTTAATTGATTAAATATTGATGACTATCGAAATAGTTATAACACAGTAAGTCGAAGCAGTATATACATTTTTTTGGTTCTTTGTAAAGGACCGCTTTGAAAAGAAAGAAAATGGCAATATTTAATTGATAACAAAAGCTTCACTGAGTACAATAATAGGCTTCCATTGTACATTTGTCTTCTTGAGACTTATTACAAAGCAAGACACTGCGTGGCGTCATTTATACAGTCAGCAATTGTCAATCGGTGCAAAGTGGTTAATAACCTCAACATATTAAAGTCATCGAAATCAATGGACAAAAATTCTTGATCTGATTGCCACGACGATACAGCTTGAAGGATACAGGTTAAATATTCTTGAACAAGGCACGTCAAAAAATAACGTTTGGTAACCGAAGTACACTTGACTGCAGCGGTATTTTCTAAGCTTTTCATCCTCTATATTGAGAAAAGATCGCTACAGTTATTATATGTCATAGAGCTATATTCAATTTAATTGATAGTGTATATCTGCTTAGGCTGCGCAAAATAACCCGAAAAAAAGTACTCCTCGTCGTTTATCTTTCTAGTAACAATAGCCACCAAACATTCTCCACACTCTCTTCTAATGGCTGGATAAATCTTGCATGATCTGTGGAAGTCGAAAGAAGTGCCCGAGAGAATCGAAATCAAGTACACCCGTCCTGTGTTGACTTGTAGTCCAACGAAGAGAGGTTTTATTTTCTTATCTTCGTTAAGTGTAATGATAATTCCAGTCGCATTGAGACAACTTTCACTGATGTCTCACCTGGCTGTAATCCGATGAATATGGCTCTGCGGTGGCTAGTTAAGCAGAAGAAGCAAGATCCAAGCGGCCATATTCGTCAATCGTTTCGCTTGCTGGCAAAGGACAGTACGAAAGCTTCCGGGCACTTCCTTTACATATAGCCATCGACCAACAATGATGAGGTGCTGGAAAAATCCACGTGCAAAACCTGTCCATGGACACTGTAGTTTTGAAAGACGGTTCAAGCAATTTTTACTGAGGTATCGTCGTTATGATAGTCGGAGACCTCTAGATGCTCCCATGCGTCACCAATCCCTGATGGATTGTCATATGCTTCAATTGAAATGCTATATTTTGCTGTTGCGCTTCTTCAATGATTTGCAGCCTGGAGATACCGATTGCTTTTTTGTTGACAGCATAAAAATGAAACACTTCATAAAATCGAATTGTTAAAAACTGGCTCGTTCGTTGTAGCTGACGATGAGATCCTTCACGACATCCGGAAAGATTCTGGCAAGGGTTAATACGCGGTCGTCCGTATATGAGCGTACCGGAGGCATGCATGCAGCACGTTTGCTTGACGTGTCAGCATTGAATTCTCGTGTGATTTTGAAGCTTACAACGGCAACCACACCACGGTTGCTCGCATGGGCAATGGCCGCGTTCCATTTAAAACCATGTCACTGCTGATGACCCCTTAATTGTACACACATTAAACGGATCGATCCGTGCACAAGTCGAAGGCTCCAAACGCGTCCAAGCAACTTCCCAATCCTCCAACGGTAAATGAGAATCAATATGGTAACATATAATGATCCGAAAGATCTACTTAATCAGATACATTTTTAGCTGTTAATAAGATATCACCTTCTTCTGCATTACTGTTCTCTGTACTAACCCCGACAGTTTACCGATTCTTTCAAGGTCATCTCATCTTCTGCCAAGAAGGCCGTCTCTGGAAATAACAGTACGCTTGAATCTAACAGACCATATGAAAAAGATTAATACAGGATTAGTAAAAAAGTCGAAGGTTAGTTCTCTCTTCTCGTTTATATCATACTTGTAGCCATGTTAGCAAAAAAGACGCGCTTTTTCACCGCTGCTTTTAGTAGCTTATGCTTTGCTGATTAACGCTTACAATCATTACTGCTCAATGGTAATTTCAGATGCTGCTTCTTGTGTTGACCAGCAACAATATTGCTTGTTTAGCTATAATTGATCCCGCACATCAACCTATTAAACTACAACGTCAATGCCAAATGAAAATACTTGCGAACAAGTGCTATTTTGCTTGTGGATAGTATATGAATGATGCGGTATATGGTACTATATCTTTGATGCACTTTATCTTAAAGGGCGAAGCTAAAAATGCGTAATACTGGAGAAGAATAAGAAAGATTAGACAACAGATTTCGAATTGCTCATGCCCGCTTGGTTTTGGGGTCGTACAGGATGTTTTTGCTCGTGTATGTGTGACACAAAGCGGAGGACATGTTGCTTCTTTTTTTGCTCAGCAGAATTCCTCCTTGTGCGTATAAAATAGACTCTTTCATCGAATTCTCAACTGTAGTTCACATGCAAACTTTCAGACTTAAGCATCAAGGTATAATAGCATAAGCAGCCAGTAACCTCTGCATCTTTTATATACAAATAGCTTGTGGTGCCGTAGTAGTAATGGATATCTAAAGAACAGTATTTTAATCAGAGGATCCTGAGTCAGAACATCAACAGCAAGAGGACGAGAGCAGCAGCAGCGGGCATTCTCATGATTATTCACAGCAGGCCCAAAACCATTTGACAGATACAATCAATGGAGCAGTAGAGGAGGAACACGACGATGAGGAGCAAACGTCATTATTAGGAGTGAGATCAACGTCATCTCCAAATAAAAGGCGACTTATCGATGTCCTCACAATCGGTCTCGCTGTTTGTACATTGGCACCTCTAATTATGAAGTTGGTCCAATTGTTATCATCGCCGCCAGCCCAGTGGGACCCAGCACTCGATCAATGCGTACGCGACGGATACATAAGCTGGTTCCCTTTACCCCCCTCGATTCAGCTTTATGGCAATAACCATAACATCTCTATTGAAATTGTGGGACACGTTTCAAACGGCGTTATACATATCCATCGTTCATCTCCGAACGATGTTTTCGATGGTGGTGGTGTCATTATGTCACGCGTAAACACATACCCTGCCGACTTGATTTCCAATGGTTTCGACTTCACGCATGACTACCATCCCGACAAGGGGACGCACTTGCTCTTATCACTGCCAGACCGAGAATACTACAAGTACCGTGCTTGTATCTATATACATATCAACGTGTATGTTCCTTTCGACTACGCACGTACGGTAGTCATTGCAACACACAATATGGAGATCATTGTCAATGATGATATTTCCTCCGAGTTAAACCCCATGGATACTCTCGAATTACGGACTGAAAATGCACCCATCCGGTTCAACGGCACCAGCACCCCAGCATGGTATGGCAAAGATATTATGCTCAGCACCACAAATAGAGAACTACAATATGATGGTGGCAATTTGCGTGCGACCGAATCAGTGCATCTGGAAACGTCCCACTACCCGATTCGGCTCAATGACGTCTCCGTTTCAGACTCTATTCAACTAAATTCGCTCAATGCACCTATCTACGCTTGGAACCTTTCGGCAAGATATATTGATGCAACCGCAACTGGTCAGCATAATAGCACTATGATTACTATGCAAAATGCCACAGCTCAAGGAATTCGTGCTCAGACCAACATCGGCGAAGAAGAACAAAAAGCAGGCTCAATTACTCTTGAAAATATTATTGCACACGATACAATTACGACAGACACAAACACGGGTCATGTGTATGCTCAACTGTTAGCCGGGTCCGAGCATGTCAATGCATCCTTTGGGTCAGTCAAAAGTCCAGTAGAGATTGTCATGGTGAGTAAGACATCTAGAGTATTGTATACAGTAAATTGTTTGTATATATGATGGGATAGCATGGTACTAATTTTTAATTACTGTAATAGCCCGCCGAGTATACTGGTGCATTTAAAGCGAAATCATGGACGTCACGAGCCACAGTCAAAACAATAGACAGTTTCAAGGATGAAGAAAATGACGAAAATGATGATGAACTGATTTTTGAAGTGAGCAAGTATTCTGAGAAAGTCGGGTTCAAAAAGAACAAAGATCCAGGTACTGGGGCTGTTTCCGTGATTTCTATCAATGCAGAAGCCAGTCTTGCTTTTGTTGTAAACTTAGACGGCTGACTACAACATACGTAGCTACTCGGTTAAATACTATGCATGCAGCAGTAGTATTAGATAGTAATAACAATAAAACGTCGTACCATATAGTCTATTTGATAGCAATTTTTGGCGAAATGGCTCATAGATAATACTATTAGCATTGAACTATGCACTATCATATAGCCCGAGAAATGATGCAAAATGGCTGATTGCTCCCTTACGAGATAGTACATATTGACTGTCTTAGTGTACAGGAAAGGAAGGGTTTTGAAATATAAGAATGAAAAATTCTGGGTGGATATTCTAATTACCGGGTAACAAATATTGGTGTCGCAAAGGTGGAAGAATATCAATAAACAGATTTATTGTATAGTATGGATTTAGAAAGGGAATGATGTGTAGAATATTGTAGATTGAAATCAGAGTTGATTGTGCGCATCGATGAAGAGAATAACAAAATTATTGTAGTATAGAAGTATTCATACAATCATTTTCATGGTGAATAATTGTGTATACGATATATACAATATGTGTGTGATTGAGGGAAATGATAGTGGAGAAGAAGGCAAGTACAAGCTGTCTATAATAGGGAGGGAAGAGAAAAAGAATAAGGGCAAATGAAGGTCGAAAACATTGGCTTGATTACAGGGCATCGTTGTCGCTATGCAATGGTCTATTTGGTCATAATCACAATACACTTTTACAGGGGAAGACGATGCAGGCTGAAGTAAGCTGATGATCGAGTACGGGTTGGTTGTACGACGGTATCGTTGATGATGATGATGATAGGAAGAGGGAGGCAGAGAAGGACGAGGTGAAACGTCTAATTTGTTCTTGTCGTCATTATGATCATGGAGGTGGATTTGGCCGCTAGTGTGACAATGAAGGTGATTACGACCGTGATGATTGTTGTTGTCGTTGAGCACCGCATGTTTGATGATATTATGGCTGTTGTTATTGACATGACGACAGTGCAAATCAACGTCAGCGTCAGTACCACTAGCAGCAGTGGCAATAAAATAAGTAATAGTGGCGCCTGCAGAAGGACCACTATCATCATTATGACGGTGGTGAGGAGAAGGTAAGAATGTAAAAGTAGCAGTAGCAGTAGTAGTAGTTGTAGTAGAAGATCTGTTGTATTGCTTTGGAATGGGTGGCACCTGGGCGTGCATTGATGTTTCGTCCCAATCGTTCCAGATTGTCACATTTCTTTTCTGCATCATCCACAACCCCTTTTGCGGCGCTTAGTTCTATTTCCTCAAAGGTTTGGCGCACATATTAGCGTAATTAATCAGTATAGGGCAGATCCTGGATCATATCAGCATTAGTTGGTTGCTTGAAGCCATAATAATCTGGTCTACTGGCAGAATTCGAATGTTCGCGGTGGCGTCTCTCGTTACTGCGACGGACCACCACCGTCCAAGGACCGTGGCCGAGTTATTAATGATTGGTTGGTCCGGCATGTCTCCTGCAGCAACACGAGACCGGGGCCTATCGCCACCGTCCAAGATAGTAGACGCAATGCTCTTGTTGCTGTGTGGGTTGATCGTGCCTGGATAAATCCGTTCGGTCATATATTCGACTGGGAAATGAAGCGCTCGTTGTGGAAAGCATCGTGGTCATGCACAAACTTGCTCAACTTGACCTGAGCTTGTTCTTGTTCCAGGCAAGGAACAAAAAAACATATGTTTCCAGCAGCAAATACTACTCCATCCTTTCTATTTCTGACTTCGTCCGGGTTGTCAAATGTACAGAGATTTTCTCTCCCGGCAAAAAGACATGTCAATGGCGTATACCTTATTCTTTAAAGCTTCTTCAATGCACTGCCAAACTACCCAATAGCCATAGGCGAATTATTGTCGACGTATACACACACATACTACTATGCATTAGCAGATAGCACATGACCAGTATCGGTACCAGCTGCTATATCTTAATTGATATACATAAGAGAAATCAAATTTCCAATTCCTGCATTTCAGGGATTTGGCAGCTGGGATATCCAGACAACAAAAGCCACTCCCACTTGCGGGGCGGAACTGCCCTTGCATCTTTTGACCGAAACCACCACATATAACATACACACACCATGTTATCGGCAGGACCCACTTATGAATTAGCACGAGCGACCTTCAAGCGTGCACAGCGCGGTCTCTTTGGTGGAAAGCACATTCAATTTGGCAACAATGTAAAGCATTTGACCTTTTGCACTGAAAAAAAAAATAATTAACCGAATTTGAACACGCACATTCAACTTAACAATGTCTGTTATATTTCCAGAACCCATTCTCCAAGAAGAAGACTCGACGCTTTTGGTTGCCCAATGTACAAAGCAAAAAGCTGTATTCCGAGACACTTCAAAAGTTTTTGGAATTGAAGGTCACGACTTCCGTGCTACGAACGATTGACAAGAAGGGTGGTTTGGATCAGTACCTCCTTGAAACCCGCGACAAGAACCTTTTCAGTGAAAAGGCAGTTCAACTCAAAAACAGCGTTTTGAAACAGCAACAAAAGAATTCCCCAACAACCGGCTCCTCCTCATCGTCACCATCCTTATAGATCTCACACACAAACATCTTTCTCCAACTCGTTATATGTATAGAACAGCAACAACCATTTAAAAAAAAGTCAATAATAAAAAAGCGTAGCCGGTACACTCGGCGGAACTTTCGCAGCTACTCGTTTTCGTTCACCTTGTTACCTGCTTATTACCATGGAATTGCCTCATATTGGAAAACATTGCTCATTACCTAACTGCCAAACACTCGGTACCGAAAGAGGACAAAAAAGAGTTATTAAAGGTGCTATCGCCAGTGAAAAGAGGATCTCACATACAAATCTGATTCTCAACAGACTTCTTGCCAATCACTTGTCTTTTTTGTCATGAGACCTTCTGGTAAACAATCTGTTCTCTCTAGGTTAAAGGAATTCCGTAACTCATGCAGACAGAAACATTATTAGTGGGCCTCATGGACTCCCTGCAGATCACGACTGTTCGGAATGGGAACAGGTAGATAGACGCGTAGTGCAGTGCAACAGCTGTCAAAACATGGTATTGGTGCCTGAAGGTTCGCGTGTCGAGCAAGCACTAGAAGAACACATCTGTCGACCACTAGACCTAGTCAAGAAGAAAAAGTGCGCTGTTTCCGGGTGTCGCGAGTTCGAACAACACAAGGTCGTAGTGCCAGTACACTGCAATGGCTGTGATAAGGATTTTTGTTTGAAGCATCGGTTAAAGATGGATCATGAATGTCCTTCGTTGGATGTGGATGAAAAGGAAAGTCGGAAGCAGGCTGCACAAGAAAAAATAAGCAAGACATTTTTGAAAACTACAACAGCAGCAACAGGAGGAGGAGCATCAAGCAACAAGAAGGTGGTAAAACCAATGGTCAAGAAGAAGAACACCATGGTGGAACTGATGAAAATGAAATTAAAAGCAAAGGCAAGTAGTAGTGATCTTTGAACATCTTGCTGATTTATGACGGACGAAGCGCTGACATGGCTGAATTTCTTTTCTTTCCTTAGGGATCTACTTCAATACCGTTATCAGCAAGAATCTATTTGCATGTAGAATTTCCCAAAGAATGCAACCGACCCACCCAACCCATGTATTTTGATAAGGTACGTGCTTAATTTTTTTTGCCCCGCTTTCCTCATTGTTTGGGCTGCATGAAATTTAAAAAGTCATACCATAATGCACCATGATAGACAATACGAGTAGGAAGGATGTTGGACATGGTGGCTGATGCATGTAGTGTGAAAAACGATAATAATCAATTACCCGAGTCTGATCCCCAGGTACTCTATCATTTATATCTTACCGCTGCCTTTGCATGCCACTCTAGTCTGGTCAGATGCTAATCGTTTTACCAACTCGATTTGCAGCGCCTGTCACTATTCCACTATACTCCTGAAGAAGCTTTATTACAATTAGACCTAGCAAACAAACTGGAAAGCGCGCTTAGCAATACCGATCGGATTTTGCTGGAACGGCTGGAAACGCAGTTTTCGAAGAATAGCAGGAAAATTTCTCGTTGAATAGTATTATTTTACGTAAGCTTTAGATTTAAAGGATTTCAGTTAACCTCTTTCTATGTGAAACTATGGTAATTTTTTTTATCCTTGTAATTATGTGCGTAATGTAAGAAGAATGTTACTATTACAGAATTTTAACTGGGCTCTGATCAGTTAGTGGGAGGGTTATCTTCTTTCTCGCAATCATTATTTGATCGCTTCCGTAAAACGAAATGCTTTATAAGAAGGGATGCAACGAAACCTAGATAATAGACAGAGCTCATTTTATTAGGCCCTAGTGATCTCATTCATGTAGAGCCTCACATTACCTATAGCCGGGAATGCAATCAAGACATGCCATGCTTCTTGGAGCGATGATGCATAAATACGCAATGCAGTTTGGAGATATCGTTGCGGTAGTATCCTGCGGATGGCCGTTGGATCCTGTACGATTGCAGATATCATCCCCGCCGGTATTGTGGTACTTGGCAGCATCTGATCTAACTTTGTATTGAGTACAGCGTATGTGATTGCTACACCAACTGCTGCACCGACATCGAAAAGAAGAAAGGATACACCGGTGGCGGTTGCTTTGATGTTTGAGATTAGCCGATATAATAAGATGAGTAAGATGGTCGTATAATAACTTGCTACAGCCGAATCATGTCTCTCGCTCTCATCTTACCTACGTCCGAAGGTGGGACAACTGCTTGCACGGAAATAATTATTGAGCTGAACATGGGCGCTACGCCTGTAAACATTATGGCATCATTATGTATATGCTCACCACTTGTAAAAAAAACATAGCTTAAAATAGCTAAATATAGATAGAGGAAAAACATATGACTTACCTATACCAAAGATAGCAATCGAACCGTAAATCACTATTTGGCCGTTATAAAATACATCGTATTAGTGCTGTGTTGCAACAATGAAATTAAGGCACTTACCGTTCCAAGGTGTATCGACTGTAAAAGTGCTTATCAAACCAGTCCCGACAGCCATTACGATCATACTACCCGTAATACTATCAAAAAAAATATAATTGTTTCAGTTGAACGATTACTCGGAATCCATCATCCATCTGCTCATACAGCATAGAAAGAAGCTCTTGCCTCACTTACAAGAAACGGTAAATTCCAAATCGCGAGATGAGTATTCCTACTGTAATGGAAATTACAGGAATGACAAGCAATAGCGGCAAAATCCGAAAAGAAGCCCATATCGGTTCATCACCTTTCACCACTTGAAAATAGTTAGGAAGGAAGTATAAAGCTGATGTATAAACTCCTCCAAATACTGCGTTTGATGTGAAGCTTCCGATAAGTGAACGGTTCGATAATAGTTTTATAGGTATCAAAGGCTCTTTTGCAAATTTGGATTCGACAAGCAGAAGGATCAGCAATAGTATACCGGAAGTCAGAAGAAGAAGCTTCGGTGATTGATATACGCATATACCGAAAAAAAGTTAGTATCGACTCTATTTTATCACCTTTCGTTTACTGTATGCATGTCCTTGTTTCATTGTCAAATAAACCAAATTTTACCACTATGAGTGTAGAATTCCATGGATACAGCCTGCCACCAAAATTTAAAGCAATTAAAAATACGACGACACAAGCCATAAGAATGATACTTCCTAGTATAGTTACGGAAAATAGACGTGTTATAATTGTCGATATCTGATGATGATTGTTATTGATGATACAGCGCTCAAAATAGGAAGCCACAACAATACAATAACACATACCAGCAAAGTCAATGCGTTTTACTTTATCAATGAAATTTCCTTTTCTGCTTGTAGGTAATTTTAGCAAAAAGGTCAGCACGGTGAAACTCACAGCACCTAGTGGCAAACTACATATCACGAGTGAGAAATTATTCGACCCTTAGCTTATCACGGAAGGTTATGTGCTCATGGGGTTAGTAAGGGCGAGAAAAGTGGGTACAATATTCTTACTTTATATAAAAGATCCATCGCCATGACAGATATTGGGAGAATACGCCCTATAGAAATAAAGGTGAATATGATACGTCAAAATAAGAGTTACAAGTATATAATCGCTCCTTTAGCTACGTACTTACTCCAAGAAGCGGGGAGATAGTGTACGACAAGGCATAAACTGTATCGATGACACTGCATAATATTTTTGGTTGATTACTCATAATCCCTCCTGTGACAACAAGCAAACTCACTGTTTACAAACCTTTGGTACAAGCCTCTTTGGCGAAGAGGTACAATATCGGCGATTATCATATAGATCTGTTGTTTAAAAATGTCGATGACTTGTTTGTTGAGCACATTTGCTGTGTGCATGGCATATTGAATTATACATGTATAACAGCAAAGAAGTCGTTAATTACCATTGAAGTATTCTATGAGAATTAGATTGAGTTATATGTAAGAGTGAGTAAGTTTTGTGCTGTACATGAGTACTAGATTATAACAATGGATATATGCTTAAGTTTCTCACCCCTGCGCAGCCTAACCCTTGAATAGCTCGTCCAGCTAGAAGCATTCCAAAAGACTGAAAGACAAGGCGGTAATCTATTAGCATATATATTATGTTGAACTTGGGTATAAGATAAAGACGACACACAAACCTGTGATAGCCCACCGAGAAGAGATCCTAGCATTACCGTGATAATCCCAGAAAGAATGATTACTTTGCGCCCAAATATGTCGGAAAACTTTGTGCATAATGGCACTGTTCATTTGGGAAAGAGCGAGGGCGTTATTTTAGTTTTCTCTTCACTCTTTCTTTTTATTCTAGCTCGCTTAGCACCCCCTCATTCTTACTGAATGCAGTGTTCGTTAGAATATAGCTTCAAGTGATCACAAATGAAGAAGTTTAACGAATTAGCAATATTCAATAAACATATACTAATTAATTTCTAATGACCCGTCATTGCAATTACTGCTTCTACTGCTACTTCTGTTGTTGGTCCCTTTTTTTCGTACCTGGTGGCCACCCAAGTTGACATTGATGCAACACCAAACTCGGATGCTATTTGGGGCAAGGCAGTTGAAACCATAATGCTGTAGTAAAGTAGAGTGGCGAAGTATATTTCAGTAATGATACTATATATCTTCAAGTAGCAAAGAACAAAAATAATGAAGAAATCAACTACCGATCCATTGCTGTCAAAAGTAAAGCTATCTGCAAGCCAAAAAATATGAAGACTCGACGTGATTTCGACAGTGCTGTTATTGTAACTGGTGGGTAGGTCGATGGAACTGCTTCCGCCGAATCCACACTATATTGCACATTATTACAATCAGGCGAATGTTCTACTACACAGCTTGTACTCTTGATTATTCGTGTTTCATTAGTATCGTTCTTTTGCTGTGTCGAGCTGTCGTCACAAGTGAAAGATGAGACGTATGATGTGCTATTAGATATATCATTTGAGATGATGACGCTCTTCTTTCCGTCTTTTTTAATCATATGTTTATGTTGAAAGAAAAAGGGAAGAGGCAGGTTGCTACTAGTACGCTCTTTGTAGTAAAGATGAAAAGGAGAGCAACGCGTGGAGGTCTAATATGAGGTGTTTGCATCAATATGCATGGTCTGCATGCTTCTTTTCAAACCCAATTCCTCTTTAGCAGGAGGTATTCAGTAATGCATTCTAATGTTAAAGCTCTTTTACTGCTAACATACTCTTATAATTTGGAAGGGATCGCTTCCGACGAGTTATACATGTCCAAATCAAATTCTCTCAAAAGTATGTTGGTAGTACATTGTCAGAGTGCCATAGCTCGTCAACCATAACACCTCCGATAGGAGTAGTATTCGATAATTTTTTTTATAATCAATGCCAGCTGCTAGGTACCCCTGATTGACAACCGTAACCCACAAAGGCGGCTTGCTAATACAAAACTCACTGTGATGAGGGAGTGCGTTGGTACTATTTTATTCGACTTTCCAATCATAGAGATAACGTTTTTTTTGAAAATACAAAAGAAAAGAAGGGACGTAACATACATATAGAAGGTCTAACACCATGATACCAACAATCTTAGTGTCTTGCTTGAATATGTACCAGTATCGAAATGATCGGTATAAGTACAATTATTGCTACGAGTATGAGAGCTTTCGATATGTATATGAGTAGGTAAAATATACGGCGATGATTTATATGAAAAAGCAATCTGCTATGATGTAGCCAATGACGTGGCAGTGAAGTATTAGAAATTGATCCTTAGCGATCATCACGGGATCCGTGTGTGTGTCTGTTTATGCAAGGTATGGTTGTGTTCATAATGATTTGTAATCCATGCACTTACCCCGAATCAAACGGACAAATTTCACATATATTCCGTTATTACCAACAGCACATGATGGCCTATGTAACAGTGGATTACGCTGCTAGTTTTTTCAATTAGACTTTATAAATTCATAGCTACTTGATAGCAATAAACGAAATGGCATGATTTTTTATTTAATAAGATTGGAAGATGATGACAACAGTCACCTTATGATTGGCTGTTTAACTGTCATTGTGCCACGTTGTCAATTTATATTCCTGCAGAATAAACACCTCAGCTTTTTTTTTGTGCACAAATATTTATTTGTCTACTCTTTCCTTTTTTTCTTCACACTCCAACAACCAGCCATGAGCAATTCCAAATCGCGTTGGCTGGCCCAACTAATGTTGTTATTATTTGCATTACTGTTATTAGTATTGCAGCCTGCTTACAGCAGTGCCAGTGGTGACTCTGCTATCGTCGATGACTCGAGCAAACTAAAATCGCCTTTACAAGATCCCGAACCGATCGAGTTTGTTGAGAATGTCTTACAAGCACCTGAATCGCAAGATTATTGTAACGTAAGTCACTAAAAAAATTCGGGTAGTTATGCTACACTATTGAATATGGCAGCTGTAAATGCAAGAGAAAGAGAATACTGACACCCGGAATTTTTTTTTATATTAGCCCCAAGGGCAAATTAAAGACACGTGTTGTGATTACCGAAGCGTCGAGGATATCCAACAAGATATATTTGACCGAATTCAATCGCTTGTGAAAACCAAATTCTTTCGATTCTACAAGGTAACCATGACTATAAGGATTTCAGAAAAAAGGCTTTGCTGACAAATCCACTTGATATACTAGTTGAATTTGTGGCGTGAATGTCCATTTTGGAACGACGATGGTCTGTGCATGAATCGGGATTGTTCGGTTGAAACAACCGATGAGGTAAAAAGAAAAAGTGTTGCTAGGCTAATCTTATTTTGTTGTTGCTGTTGCTATGGTGATTGATTGCTCATCTCTTAATAGTCTTCGTTACCTGAAGAATGGCGACAGCCAGCGTTGAGTGCGGTACAAGTTTCTCCGAAAGGATCGGTAAGGAAGGAAGGAATGAAAAAGTGAACGACGATGCAGTAATTATAAGGCTCATATCATCTTTGTTAGCTATTCCAACCTTTCGAGACCTGTCAATATAAGGACCAAGATTTCTGTCTTGTGGAAGATGAAAGCGATGCAGGTATGCATAAAATATAATTCTCGTAGCGGTATTTTTAATGACGATGTTTGTGGTCATCGATATATATAAATGACTTACACAAAATTGACTTGTGAGTAGATGGCGTTTACGTTGACTTGACTGATAATCCGGAGCGATTCACGGGGTATTCAGGACAATCTTCGGGAAGAGTATGGAAAGCCATTTACGAGGAAAACTGTTTCAACATTGTGGACAGAATGACGGAAGGATGTGAAACGTGCACCAATGTAATGCATGCTGGTCCTAAACCAGACAACAGCCGATCCAATAATCCTCTCAAGGCAGCATCGTCTCTTGCGCAGGCAACCAACGAATTTGTTAAAGTACCTGCTGACGAAGAGAAGTTTGAGCGTTTGCTGAATGATTTGGCAGAAGATTCCGATGGTGGATTCGGAGATAATGAAGAAGTGTGCCTGGAAAAGCGGGTATATTATCGTCTAATCTCAGGTAAGCCTTTGCATTACACTCAAGTGAAAGAATGGTGGAAAATGTGTGAGAGCAGCTAATAATACCTTACTATTTAATTTAGGACTACACTCGTCCATATCAATCCATATTTGCGATGAGTACTTTAACCAAGCTACTGGCAAATGGGTAGGTTACTTGAATGTGATATAAAGTAGTACTGACCAAAGTGCAGGAGCTAAAGAATGCTTATTAGGGACCCAACCTCGACTGTTTCGTTAATCGAATTGGATCGCATCCTGAGCGTTTGCAAAACATTTACTTTACCTATGCACTGGTCATGCGAGCTGTAACGAAGTTGGGAAACTATTTGGAAGATTACAATTTCTGTACTGGCGATAGCGCAGATGATATGAGCATTAAGGTAATACTTGTGGTTGGCAATTTTGTAGTGAAAGGTGAGCTAACGCTTACATATAACATGAATAGGCGAATGTACTTGATTTGATCAACAGCGCCCGTGCGTGTCCCGCCACGTTTGATGAAACGACCATGTTCCAAGGTCCCGATGCTCGGGTAAGTTCTTTTACGATTGGCCCCAGAAAACGAACAGAAAGAGGCAACAACTGAATAAATGTGTTTATACATCTGTGCTAACTTGTCAATAAAGTCATTGAAACTAGAGTTTCGTGATCATTTCCGCAACGTATCTCGTATTATGGATTGCGTCGGATGCGAAAAATGCAGGCTTTGGGGCAAGATCCAGACTACTGGATTAGGCACAGCACTTAAAATACTCTTCTCATACGGTGAAAACAATCTCAAGTAAGTGGACATTGGAAAATGCCGCTTGTATGCTATGCTATGCTAGTCACTCAAAAAAGAACGAATGTTTGAACAATCACCTATAGTCCAAAGCGAAACCCCGGTCTTCTGGAACGTTCAGAAATTGTCGCACTTTTCAACACGCTCAACCGTCTTTCCGAGAGTTTACAGGCTATAAAGAAATTTAGACAGCTTTACCATGAACGTGTTAATCAAACAGAGGTATTGATAACTGCTTTGAAAATGATTCTATGTTTTTACTTTATTTCATCTAATATCCGATAATTATAACTAGGCGCCATCCATCGTGTCGAAGATTATCACACTTTCATCACGCATTATCATCCCCACTATAGCCTACAGCAAAGCTGCTCTACAGAAACTAGATATACCCGTACCATCCTTTATGGACAAAATTTTGGACGCTGTAGTTAACCATCGTCACCTAGTTGCATCCTAAAGAAACATTACTACTCATAACATAAATCATCACTTCCTCTTCTTCCCCTCTACAATCTTAAAATAACAATGTAATATTTATTTCCGTTTTAAGCCTATCAGGGCGATGGTAAATAGTAGTTACTTTTGTGCAGCGAGGTGGACTGTATCATTAATTTCCAAAATTACATTGATAAACGATTAGGAGGATTATCTGGTCGTTTCAAAATAAAAAATATACACTCACGTGCATATATTTGTTTATGGACTCAAAAGTGCGTCTGTTTTTCCAGACTTTTATTGTTTCAGGTGTAAAAGTTTGGGTAATATAGAATCCATACGTTCTAAACCTTGTTCCGTTGGTCGAATGCCCCCTTGTTCCCATTCATGTTCCAGGTGCTTTGGTATATATGGCAGTATATCCGACTTGTTTCTGTCATCGTTATCCACAATCAAGAAATTGGATCGTACGCACATGTCGAGAAACTCTCGGTCAATCACATTCTCCAAGTCTTGGCCCGTCATCTTTTTATATCGATACCGAGGTATCCCCATCCTTGTTCTAAGTCCAAACACCACCAGTTCCTAGTAATAGTATTTTGAGCAATCTTAATTCATTAGTTGTATCGTTGATTTTCTTTCTTTACCTGTAGAGAATCATGCGGTGATAAAGGACTCCATTTGCGGATACTAAAATCATGTTATAGATTCAAGAGTTAATATCCTGGAGGTTTTCACGATACATTTGATACATTATCTAGATATATTGCTTTACCCTTCGCCTTCTGATTCACAAAGTGCCATGTAACGATCCGGATGGAATTCCTAATAAGGTTTTGTGCTTGTTATAAGCGATATGGCATTATCAATGCAAAAAAAAGAGGCGAGAAGAAGGGAAAGTTGCATACTCCAAACGTCCGTATCCGTTCCTTTGTTACATTATCCGTAAGGCGCCCATGTGCGCCAGGTCCAATTCCTGATTAGAAGGAACAGCGACTTTATAAGTTTCTGCTCTTCCTCCCCTTATGTATTTGTGCACATAAAGCTACTATGGATTATATTATGCGACATGCTGTGTTTACCGATATAATCCAGGCCTTGCCAATATGAAAAATTGTGCGCGCTTATTGCATCGCGACTTTTGGCATAGCTCGAGACCTCGTAGTGGGTGAATCCATGGTGGGTCGCAGCCCGTACTGTTTCTTCATACATGTCAGCGGCAAGCTCTGGATCTACAGAACCTATTTGCCCTTTTCGCATAAATTTCCATAGTCTAACAAGATCGGGTATGGAAGGATTGATTTCGCATCTATGGTTAGCGATGTTGATGTTATGATATGAAAACTATATGTAGAAGCAAAAGATGTTGTACATACGGGGTTCCGCGTTCAAAAGAGAGCTGATACATAGATAGGTGATTTCCTGCTAGATCGAGTGTTTGCTAATAAACAATTTACATTTGTGATGAGTTTGATATCGGTGTTTTACAACCAACCGCCTTATGAAGAGATAGAACAAACCTTCAACTCGCGCTGCCAATCTAACATGTACGCAGGGCATATTAGAAAAAAAGTACAATACAAAAGAAAAATGTGATTCATTGTATGTACCTTCTAGTGATTGCCGTGGCCGTGCAAAAATCATATCAAAAGTAACTTCGGGGAAAAGTTTCTTTGCTTCTTCTAGTGTTCGGATGGCACTAGAGGCGGAATGGTCGCGCCCTAAGTTGTTTTAATCGTTAAATGTCACTCATTTTTATTCGTCCACCTTCTAATGAAAGCCCGCATATACCCAGAAGTTTTAAGTCGACATCATTGAAAGACTGGATGCCAAGTGATAACCGATTTATACCAGCGTCGCGAAAATCTCTCAATCGAGCCAACTCGGATGACTATGTAAATTAAATGATTTGTATGTGCCGGGTTTGCTGCTTGTCAGTTTTCTTATAATTATTGACTTGACTGATGCTTAATCTGACAACATACCGTTGGATTGGCCTGTAGAAACCACAGCAAACGTATCGATGTTAGCTACAGTAATGCTCTTCCCTCCCCCACTCAAGGCCGTGTAGTAAGCACATGAGATAACGCAGACATAAAAAATGTGATGCTAGTATGTACCTCCAAGGTGATTTCAATATCCTTATCCAGAGAAATGTGTTGATTGACAGTTTGTAGAATACGTGAGATTGTCGAAGGCTGATGATATCAAATGCTATGAAGGTTAGTAAAAGCTATCACCACGCCATAGCAGCGTAGTAAAAACAACGAAAGTGGTAATAGACAGGTGTGCAAAGTTTGCTTACTTTTGCTAAGCCTATTTTATCGAAGCGAAAAGTCATGCATATCAATTAAGGTTGTGCCTGATTGATGTGTCAGGATGAAAAAGGATGCTTACTCGGCGTGCCACCACCAAAATAGATCGAAGTTACACGCTTATTATGTAGGACGCCAAAGCGTGGTTCGGATAGGTAAAACTCGAGTTCACGTATCATGGCACGCGTCAGTCGTTCCACAGGAGGATCGCTTGGATTGACGTACTTGTTGAAATTACAATATGTGCATTTACTTTTTTTTTTGGTGCACATAGATTGTTAATCTTCTTCTTCCATTTGAATATGGGCTTGAATGGTTTACCTCTCACAGTAAGGCCAGTGAATGTAGATGGAGAATGCCTCATTCTTTTTGGTAATCTTGTTGTTATGGCTAGTAGCAAAAGTTCTCCTCCTCCAACAGCTGGTGCTGCTACTTTTGTAGTAGTGCGAACAGAAAAGACTACGGCGTAAAACCATGTTTTTTTTTTGTATTTTAAAAGACAGTGTGCCCTTTTCTTCTTTTAATGTGGAAAAAAATAAATAAAAATAAAAAAAAGGTTGAAAAAACATGGTGTTGGATACACCACGACAAAACATTGAAAAAAGAAAAAAAAAAGAAAAAACCACAAGAAAGGAAAGAAAAGGGAAACACTAATGAACGTTGGATGGATGAGATAGGATTGGGACGGGCAAAAAGGTAGTAGTTATAATAGCTGAAGCGGGGGGGGGGGTGGGGAGCAGTGAGTGAGTATACAAAACACTCCCTTCCCGGCTTCATAATAGTCTTCCATAGCAACTTCTCCGAGGGTTGTGTATGCGAGTCTGTTGGTGACAAAAGAGAGAAAATGGTGGATGATGCTGATGCTGATAGCGATGCTGGTGTCTGGTGAGAAAGGAAAGTGTAGTGAACAGAGGATGTGTTTAAAGAAGAAAGGGCAAGTGAGAACTGTTTGGGCAAAAGATATACGGAAAGTGAAAAAGGACAGTGGGTGGGGCAGAGGTTTTGCTTCGTATAAGTTGTAAAAAAAAGGAAAGAGAAGAAAGAATTATGTACATGTTTAAAAGAAAAGGGGTGGTCGGCTGGTGGTGATTGTGTAAGTAAACGGATCGTGAGCTTGACGCCACGATTTAAAAATGGGAGAGACAAGTAGTAACAGTAACTTCTTCTTTCTTCTTTTTGTACTTTCTTTGGTGGTTGGTTGTTTAGGGGAGTGGGACAGGCTTTCTGCGCGGTCCGTTCTGTCGATGGCCGTTGTTGCCGCCACGATGATGATGGCCTCCTCTACCGTTACTGGCTCCACCTCGAGGCCCTCCTCTGCTGTTGAAACCGCCACGATACCTATTGCCGCCGCCGCCGCCACCGTTTGCATGATGATGGTTTCTATCGCCATTATTGTGCTGCTGCTGACTTGCCAAGGTTGCTGCTGCCGCCTCTGCATCCGGCTTTTGCGGCTGGGCGTCTTCAAGGGCACTGGGTGCCACATACAGACGCTTATCAATTTCTGCAGGAATAGGAACAATCTCGGTGCCTAATTCACGTTCGATCTTGTACAGGTTGAATCGGTCCTCGTAGGTGATAAGGTTGATAGCCAAACCAAGGTGGCCATATCTACCAGAGCGGCCAATACGATGCAAATACGTTTCTGCGTTCTTGGGAAAGTCAAAGTTGATTACAACGTTTACAGCTTGGATATCGATACCACGCGTCAAAAGATCTATATCACATAAAGACACCTCGATCAGTCCTAGTTCTCCTATGGGATCAAACCCACCGAGTTTCCCACATCATCAACACCATCCCTATCAATAATGCATACCTGAGCAAACCAAGTTTCGACATACGCCGCTTCTAAAGTCATGGAATACACGGTTACGGTTGCTTTGAAGCATTCTTGCGTGTGAGTAGAAGCACGAATAACCCAGCTCAGTAATTTTCTTGGCCAGCAATTCCACACGGTTGGTCGAGTTACAGAAGATGATAGATTGATTGATTTGGAGCTGGAAAAAAAAAAGAAACGCAGTGCTCGAATAAGTAAAAGATCCTCTGCTAGATCTTACCCTTCCCTCTCGTAACCTTCTAGAGCGTACCTTTGAAAAGAGTGTATTCAGACAATGGACTTTTTGCTTTTCTTCGACATAGGCATAAAACTGCGTGACACCCTTGAGGGTGAGGTCGTCCATCAGATTAATTTCATAAGGCTTGACTAGATGCTTTTCGCGGAAGGTCTTAACGACCATGGGGAAAGTGGCGGAAAACAGCATGATCTGTCGGTCGTTGGGAAACTGCTGGATCAATTGTTCGATGACGGGGGTGAACTCGGGCGACAGTAACTTGTCGGCCTCATCCATCACAAACGTGGAGGCTTCTGAAAAATCTGCCACGGCTTTACTGGCCAGATCCAGAATACGACCTGGTGTGCCTACGACAATGTGCACTGTCTCATCCAAACGCATAATATCATCCTTCAGTGTCGTACCACCGGTGGTCACCATAACCTGGACGCCCAAATGTTTGCCTAGCGTCTTGCATACTTGTGATGTCTGTAAAGCCAACTCACGAGTGGGCACCAAAATCAGAGCTTGGATTTTGCTCTTTTTCGTGTTGACTTTCTCCAGAGTGGGAATGACGAATGCGGCGGTTTTGCCGGTGCCGTTCTTGGCTCGAGCTAAAATGTCTCGACCCGTCAGTGCAATAGGAATTGATTCTTCTTGGATTGGTGAAGGGCGTTCGAAACCAGCTTCGAAGATGCCCATAAGTAATTCGCGTTTA